GAAAGTATTGAGCAGGGGGAGCTACCTTCAGCATCAAGTGATGTAGAGTCTTAGCCCAGGAGATCTACTAGAGAGCGCAGGCCATCTATCAGGTATCCAAGTTCAGATTTTATTTTAGTTACCGGTGAAGGGAAGCCAGAAAGCTTTCAAGATGTGCAGGTTACTCCGGATAGAGAGCACTGGTTAAAAGCAATGAAAGAAGATATGGAGTCATTGCGAAAGAATGTTACTTATGATCTTGTTAAACTTTCAACAGGGAAGAGGCCATTAAAGAATAAATGGGTGTTTAAGTTGAAAAAAGATGGTGACAAACTAGTGAGGTACAAAGCTCGATTGGTAGTAAAAGGTTTTTCTCAGAAACCAGGCATCGATTTTGATGAGATTTTTGCTCCAGTTATAAAAATGAGTTCTATTCGAGTGGTACTGGGATTGGCAGCTAGTTTGAACCTTGAACTTGAATAACTTGATGTTAAAACTGCTTTTTTGCATGGTGATTTACAGGAAGACATTTATATGAATCAGTCTGAGGGTTTTGCAGTGAAAGGGAAAGAGCACTTAGTTTGCAAATTGAAGAAAAGCTTGTATGGCTTGAAACAAGCTCCGCGACAGTGGTGCAAAAAGTTTGATTCTTTTATGATGAGTCATAACTATAAAAAAACAGCAACGAATTCTTGTGTGTATGTTAAACAATTTCCTAATGGTAACTTTATTATCCTATTATTATATGTTGATGATATATTGATTGTAAGACAAGATGCTAGTATGGTTTGCAAGTTGAAAGAATAATTGTCTAAGTCCTTTGATATGAAGGATTTAGGTCCAGCAAAACAGATTCTTGGTATAGACATTATCTGAGATAGGAGAGCTGGAAAGCTGTGGTTGTCACAGAAAAAATATGTTGAACGAATGCTTGGTAGATTCAACATGCAACATGCTAAATCAGTTAGCAGCTCACTTGCCAACCATTTTCATCTAAGGAAGAAATCTTGTCCAGTGTCTAAACAAGAGCAACTAGCTATGTCTAGTATTTTTTATTCTTCTACAGTCGGTTCTTTAATGTATCTTATGGTTTGTATAAGGCCTGACATTGCTCATACAGTTGGTGTAGTGAGCAGATTTCTTTCTAATCCAGGGAAGGTTCACTGCGAAGCAGTGAAATAGATTTTTAGATATTTGAGGAGTACCTAAAAAATGTGCTTGACTTATGGAGTTTCACAACCAGTTCTAGAAGGGTTTACTGATGCTGACATGGCATGCGATCTTGATGGTAGAAAATCTACTTCAGGGTATTTATTCACTTTTACAGAAGGAGCTGTATCTTGGCAGTCTAAGTTACAGAAGTGTGTTGCTTTGTCAACTACAGAAGCTGAGTATATTGCAGCAACTGAAGCATGTAAAGAAATGCTTTGGATGAAACGTTTTCTTCTTGAATTGGGGTTGAATCAGAAAGAGCATGTGATATTTTGTAATAGCTAGAGTGCTTTAGATTTGAGTAAGAATACCATGTACCATGCTAGAACAAAGCACATTGATGTTAGATATCATTGGTTACGTTCAGTGATTGAAGAACAGCAGATGTTATTGAAGAAAGTCCATACTGATAAGAATGTAGCAGATATGTTGACTAAGATACTTCCCAGGGAAAAGCTTGAGCTTTGCAGTAACTTGGTCGGAATGAGTTCCCTGGCCAAGATAAGTTCCAAATGAAATTGCTATGGTGATGAATCTCTTTCTAATGGGACTGGAGGGGGAGATTGTTAGGAAAATGGGGTCCAGTCCCATGTAAGTGGTTTTGGACCAAGTAAAGGCCATGGGCCTTGATCTTTTATTTTACACAGAGCCCTAGCTACTTAATAAAAAAAGAGGTGGGGTTGTTTTAGGTGTGTATCGAAAACCAAGCAGAGAAAGATGAAAAGCCAGGAAAAGCAGAGAGAGAAAAAAGAGAAGGGAGAGTTGGTTGAACGGAAGTCAATCAGTGGTCCGTTGAGTTGGAACCTTGTCAGGAGGTTTATGATTCAGAGTTCTACATTCTGAACGGTGAAGATTGGGTTTAAAGCTCTCTAGGAACAAATTCATGGTGTATTTATTGAGTCACTTATTTGGTGAGATTTCTCTAATTGTTTCTCTAATTGTTGATTAGCTCTAGTTTTAGCTAGAGAAGAATTTTGTATAACTATTATTTGATAGTGAAGATTTTTCTGGTGGCCCGTGATTTTTTTCCTCTACACTGAAGGGTTTTTCACGTAAATCTTGGTGTGCTTTATTTTTCCTTGCGTATTTGATTATTGATTACTGTCTATTGCTTCTGTATTGTTGTGATTATTGCTTCAGGTGCAACAAAGATTTCCTCCGAATTTCACCTGAAAATTTGTTCATTTCAAGAGATAAAACTTGTAAAGTACTTAAATTTCCGATTGCTGGAGGGATTTTACCAGTGATCCAATTGTTTGAATTTTTAACATACCAAGCGAAGCAACTGACATCTGGGATGGGAGTTCACCGGAGAGGAAATTGGCGTCTAACTCGATAATACTCAGCAAGGGCAAGTGGAAAATTCCAGCTGGAATTGTTCCATTGAGTTTATTTTTCATGATACGAATCTTTGTAAGAGACTTACAGTTACCGAGTTCTTCAGGGAGGGGACCGGAGAAGAAATTTTCCATTAGAATCAACGTCTCCAACCTCCCTCCCTTACACAAATCCCGTGGAATCAATCCAGTGAGGCGATTGGAAGCAACGTCAAGCTTAAAAAGCTTCCCGTTGCGGCCAAGATTCTCCGGTAATTCAAGCTCGAAGTTGTTTTCCCACACTTGAAGAACATCTAGATGAGGAAAATCACCTACGAATGATGGGATTGGACCGCTGAGATTATTTTTGAACAAATTGATAAGTGTAATTTTTTGCAAGGCAGAGAAACTCTCTGGTATCTTCCCTGTTAGTTCATTTATGGAAAGATCAAGAAATTTTAAGCTGATCAAACCAAATAGTTGAGAAGGAATACGGCCCGTGAGACGGTTCACTTGAAGGAACAATGAGTGTAAGTGTTTCAAATTGCTCAAACTCGCAGGAATCTCACCGGTTAAGTTACAGCTTGCCATGTCGAGAAGTTCGAGTTGACTTAATGACCCAAACTCAGGTGGAATTCCTCCATCAAAGGCGTTGAAATATCCAATTAACATGTGTTTCAGGTTTTTTAAACGAGCCAAAAACGCAGGACTTTTCCCCGTTAAACCGATGCCGTTTAAACCCAAGTATTCCAAGCTCTGGATATCAGAGTACTTCTCCGGTATCTCTCCCGTGAAATAGTTTCCTCCGAAAGATAGATGTTTTAGATTTTTCAGGTTACCGACTTCAATGGGAAGAAGACCAGTGAAGTTATTGTTGTAAGCGTCAAGAATCACAAGCTGAGTCATACCTGTAAGAATTTCTCCAGGGAAACTACCACTGAAAAGATTGTTGGAGATGTTGAATATCTTGAGAGAAGTTAAATTCCTCATCTCCACCGGAATCTTCCCAGTAAGATTAACGGTGGAAATAGTGAGGTTCATGAGCTTGTTGCGGAGACCTATTCCGGAGGAATGGTGCCAAAGAGAGGAGCAAACGACACATTCAAAGCAACAACACGGAAATCCTCATCACATTCAACACCAGAGAAGTGGCAATGCGCAGATGGAGATAAAGAGAGTTCCCAGTCCTCGAGTCCTGAACCTGTGGGTCGAATCATGGAAGACTTGAGCATGAACAGAACTTCAAGATCATCATACCCATTGCTGCTGGAAGAGAATAATAGTAAAATCAAGGAAATATAGAGGACAAAGTAACTGTAAAAGCTTTTCATTGATCTGTTTTGTTTCCGCTGTTCCTCTCTTTGCTCAGAGAGAGAGAGAGAAAGAGAAGTGAAGGTAGCGTTAATTCTATGCAACGCCACTCAATCCTCTGAAGCTTCCTTTAAGTAGAGTTATAAAGAGAATAGTATATGAAAAAAACAAATACAAAATCTGAAAAGTGAGAGTGTGTGTGTGTGTGTATGGATTGCATGAAACCCCCGACACCCTGTAATTTATTATTGCCCCTGGTTCCCACCGTTCAGTACAAGATTTTTGACGAAGATAGAAACAAGGCGAGTTAACGTTGATTTTACTTTCAGAGTTTTACTACTTCTTAATGCTGCTCAGCTCTTCTGTGAGTCAAAAAATGAGGTCCCTAGTGGAAGGCAATCATTTATTCTCTTTTACAAGCTGTCAATCCACTATAATTGAAGCATAAATTCATATTCTATTGTTTAAAAAAAAAAAAGGGTTGTTAGTAGAGAATTCTAGGTTAGAACAATATAAAGTTAGTGTTTTAGGGAATAAAGATATCAAGAGCAACAAAACCTACTTGGATTGGGTATTTAGATTTGACCCTTTTTAATTTGAGTAGTTATCTCATTCGCGCAGGGTGAAAGGAGGAGAACTGGAGAATATGGAAGTTAGAATACAAATACAAGATTACCACTGAAACTTCCATATTCCACCCCTGTATAATAAATGTGATTTAAAAGTTGCACCATGGCTACAACTTCGTTTTCTTGTTTAATTTTGTCTTCTAATGTTCCATGTCTCATACTTCGTAACTCTCAAGCGTTGTCTTCTAGATGCAATTGAAATCCTTTTTAGCATAATCTCCTGTTTGACTTAAAAAAATGCTTACGAAAAGAGTTCAAGTAGGCCTGACCATGCAACGATGTGAAGAAAATTTCTCAGCACTCAGCATCGTTTAATCAATCAAAGCGAGGTTTAAAACTTGGGCTATCATAGTTCACGCGCCGAGCATTTGTTCTATTTATTTGTTTATTAGGAACGACAGTAGGCCTGGCTCGATAAGCTACAAATCAGAGCAGCCAGCGCCCTTGATGGGTGCTTATCGGGTAGCGAGGCCCAGTAGTTACCTTCTTGTGCATTTTGCCAGTTACTACAATGTTTTAACCCAGTAATCAAAGAAAAAAATGTTGCTAATCGATTTGTATTTTCAAAGAGTTGGCACGCATATTCCATACTTTCAAGAACAGAATTATAGAAAAGGAAGGAAATAATTGCAAGGAAATTGATAGTGACTGATATTAACAACATACTGAAAAGAGTGTGAGGAAGCTTTGTTCAACAGAAGGGAAGTGATAAAACACCGTGGCAATGCTATAGTGGCTAGTATCAGAAAACATCGGGACTGATCTCCTTTACAAACTTTCAAAAAACCAAATTGCGGCATAATTAAGATGAGGTTCTCCACTGCATCTCAATTTGAATCCGGCCGTTTTTCGAGTCAATGAGATGATACTTTTCATTGATTCTTCTGTTACTAACAACATCAGCTAGGTTTATGGTAACATAACCCAAAGATTCCTGAAAAAACATGTAAAGAAGTATTGTTATTATTTAATTAAATAAAAGAATAATGAATTTATATTTCAAATTATATGCAATAGGCATGGAGAAAAAGAAGTTTGTAATGCACAAGATATGGTGAATATCAATGTGATCAAAGTCATCAGGATAAGTATTGCTCATAATGAGATGAGAGAGTGACAAAAGAAAAAAAATCCTATCATATAAAGAAACAGAAGCCTTTGAATACCATGCTGCATAAAGCTTCCAAATATTAGATATGCCCTCTCCTAACAGTTCAAATAGAGAGAGAGAGAGAACGAAAATGAATGCAATAAATGCAAATGTATACCTTGGGATGCAATAGCCCTATCCTGGAGGATGTACTAATTACTTCCACGTGAATTTTATCATTTGTGGGTGGTTCATCCACCATAAACTGAAATTCATCTTCCCATCTTGGATCTCTGCTTTTCTTTACACGCTGTATCAATGCCAACATGAATGTCAATTCCAGACCAAGAATCAAAATGTATGACAACCAACAAGAACATTAAGCTCAGACAAATAAGGGGATAGGGATCAGTCGCACAGGCAAATATAAAAGACGTAGCATTTCTGATTCACAGCCAATAATCCATCCTGGAAAGTGCCATATTTATGATTAAAACATCAGTGTTAAACAAGATTATACTTCATAAACAGACTTAGTGCCAATTTACCAACTGTGAATGTCCAATTATAATTTGGAAAGGTGGGCCAGCATGATTTATTGAATGTTTCCATATTTTAGACACTTGTATTAACAGCTGTAGGAATCAAAATGCTATTCAAAAAAGTAAGATGCATTGGAGGTTTGGAAGCAAATATTCACACCATTACCTCTTAGTGAAACCATTCTTGAAAAACCTAATTTACGGCATAGATTTATCCCATACCTTTGTTTTTCTCTCCTCCCCTCTGAATAACAAACGCACATGTGGGTTTGTATGGTACTTTCCTTCAATATCTTCAGCTTCATGCACAATAACTACAAGCAAACCTCCACCTGCGGGTGTTCCTTCTGGAGCTTTTTGTACCATACTACAATCATCAATGTCATTTGGTATCTCATCCTCCTTGAAAGGTTTGTACAAGACTTCCATGACAAGCTGCCCACGTGACTTCTCATTTTGTGGATCATTTGGGTCCATATTTTTCAGCAGATCAAGAGTCAAAACTTTTGGCTCATCAGGTGTAAGATCTTTCAATGGAACAACATTCATGCCCATCTTTTCGTGTGTGCCAATCTGAATTAAAGTTAACATAAAGCTTGAGAAATACACGTGGAACATACACAGGCATACATGAGTACACAAAACATAGAAATCTGCATAGGTTGGCGTGCGGTGCTTTAGATCCTAAGAAAGTAAGTCTTCGAACAAGGGACAAGATGAATAGTTAAGTTTTAGATTATTTCACATCACCAAATAGAAAGGTTAATCTGGTCTCATTAGGAATAACCTCAGAACATACAATTAATCTAGGAAACACATCAAAAGAATCATACCTGGTCCCAGTCATGGACATTTATCTCCAAAGCTTGAGTGTTTGGATCTTTAACAACAAAATTAAAATCCTCATTCCATTCAGGGTTCAAGTTGCTGTGTTTCACAGTAGTTTTCTTTGCATTGAGTTTTTCCTCGGTTAATTTTAGTTTCACATAAGGATCTGATTTGCCCAGAAGATCTTTCTTTTTAAGCTTCATTGCCCTCAGAACCTTCACATCAAGAATTCCAACAGGTTTCTTCATAGCTCTGTCAATAAGAGGAATTTTAGCAGGTCATATATAAAGTCTCATCTGTAACTGGAAGTCAGCAGAAAGCGGAAATATGCACACTTACTGCGTAGGATCCATTATTTGCACTTCTAAGGCTTTAGGCCACAGGTACATTTTTGCAACTTGATCTTTTATGAGCTCCTGGATAAAAATGTATCCTTGTTAAGAAAAAAATAAAGAATTGGGGCATATTAGGATTGCATATAGGATTCCTGGAAAATAAAGGGGGTGATGGCTGGCATACAGAGATGCCATAGAAATGTAGTTTCTACTCCCCTTCAATCTGAAAAAGTGAAGGGGAGAGAGAGATGGTCAAAATATTTGGTGTACATAAGTTGAGAGGATAACCACCAGCCATGAGGTATATAACAGTTTTCTCCATCACAAACTTTAACATATCACAAGAAGCAAGAAATAGAAGTATTACCTGGACAAACCTGTATAATCCAGGAATGGCCATAACATCTGCCCCAAGTAACTTTAGCCCAAAATCAACATGCGGCTGCAAAACAAAAAGGTGGAAGAGAAAGAAAGAGGCAAGAAAGTAAGATCCTTCTATAGATACTACAACTAACACCTGCCCGGGTAACGTTTTCTCCTAAACATATTATGCTGAACAGAATCACAATGAAACTTTGAGCAGTCAGAAAATAAAGACATGACAGAAAGTTAATAACATCAATTCATAATAAATGGATATGATAAATAAAATAGAAAAAAAAAATCTCCTAATATGAATGATGCTTAGAGACATATTTTGCATCAAATTCATAACATGGTTCATAAGAACTAATGTTGCAGCATAAACTTTATTCCTGAAAAAAATAACCATGTATTGACTTGTTAAATACAACATACCTTCTCCATTAGGGAAACACAGATATTCGCAAAACAAGGAAAGACATTGAGCAAAGGCTTCAGAGTTATTCGAGGAACAGCAAATACTTGCAAATCAACAACCTGAAAGATAAAAAAAATCAATGCTCCTCACTGGAACCAACACATTTCTCTCTCTACATCTTGCTGAACCATTTTGTTCACGCACATCTGCATGGATGTCTGTTCATGAGAGAGTAAGAGAGATAGACAGACAGACAGGCAGAATGTGTACACATTTCTCTTATGTTTTGTCATGCATATTTCTTTCTCTTAATCCACCATTACACTAGCAAATACCTGAACAGTGGCTTTTAATCCGAAAGCTTTAACAGCGATAATGATGTTAGGATTCCCTGCCAACTTAAATGCTGGTTCCATAATAAGTTCCTTTTCATCAGTGACATAGACTTTCATTCCTGGCATATAATAACAAGCATCACTCTATAAAAATTTGTACTAGAATTATAAGGGAGAAGAAAAAAAAAACACAATTTGTAAGCTAACAACATCATAACCACCATACTCATACAATCTAGGCTACTTCAAATGAAAATTAGCAATCATGTTCAGGAAGAAACTACTTTCAATACTTTCCTTGAATTATTATTATACTACATAATTAGTCTAATACCTTGGACAAATATCTATACTTTTGAATGCAGAAAAGAATTCAGATCAAGTGATCATATAATGGGAACACATTTGATATGGAATATGCAGTTGAGGTTATGTGTGTAGAATGTATAGGAATATGTGTTTGAGAAAGAAAAGTCAACCTTGAAAAGTTGGTGGTAGGGTACCGAGAGTAAGCGTTTCAAATTCAACTGACTGAATTTTGTATTTTGGGATTTGCTCAGAAATAATGGGCTTTGCTATATTCCTGGCAGTTGTGCAAATTGCCTAGAAAACATGAAGTGCAACACTCAGTACGAAATACAAAAAAGCAAGGCAAACAAACGTAATAGTAACCATAACTGGTTAATTATCTTTGCAGTTACACATACCGTGTCCAGATAAGGCCACATGTTCTCAATAAATTTGTTAAGCCAGTCAACCTTCAGAGAAACAGACAATTATAACTTATAACCTTGTTACATAACTTAATGAACTTAAGAGCTAACATACACAAATGCCAGGAAAAAGAAATAAGAAATCATAGCAGAGAATAACATACACGGTCAAAATCTGGATTTTTGACCCACAAAGGGATCTCTGGAAGCAACCGCTGCAAAGTTTTTGAGTCTTCCTCAATTAAAGGACGAATCTTAGGATCCTGAAAACATGACATGTTAACAACCAAAAGAAACAAAGCAACCATCTTATCAATGGATCAAAAGGCTGAATCATGACATTGAACACAATTCATGTTGTTGTTCTGATATCACTTTAAACTGCTCAGTGAGATATGTTCCCACCATTTAGAGAACAACCAAAATAAAAAAGACAGAAGCGGAATTAAGAAAGAACAAAGGAAAAATTATATAAATTGAGAAAAGTCTCAAGACTGTTCAAGTTTGTTTACTTTAAGGAAGCATTACATGACAGTCGGAATTCAGAAATATTATAACTTGTATATTGGAATTCGGATGCAGGATCGTCATTCACTTCGAAAAGGACCTATATTTCTTCATTGTTTTTCTATATGATAGCCTCAAGTGATAACTACAGCTTCTTATTAGGAACTTATGTGTCCATATGTAGAGTACCAATTACAAACATTTACATTTAACTGTTCCAACCTTTCATACATGGCACCAACTGGGCACCAACTAACATTCAAAACAAGCCAAATAGTTTGGTGATAAAATACAGTAAGTTAAATACCATAGAAAAATGGAACAAAAGCACAAGCATATCACTGTTAAATGATAATCCCGTCAGAGAAAATTTTCTCAATCCTAAAACCGAAAATTTTCAAAGAATAACCTAAACTTAAGCCTGTTTGATCATTTCAAAATTGTTTTTTGACATCTTTCAAAGCGAAAACACTGCAAAGTACAAAGATTTGCACAGTGAAACTGGAGATGGAAACCATAAACTCTATTGGCTTAAGACAACAGCTGAAATTAACCATAAATACGATCCAATACATTTATCAGACCATAACAAAAAACAGTTCATCAGCATAGAATAAAGTTAGCATTTTTTAGTACCTATTCATTATTTCAATTAATAAATAGACAAAATTTAAAGCAGGTTATGGAAGTAGAAAAACAGCCACCTAGCAAAAACGGCTCCACTCAAACAAAAACTGTGAAAAACAAACGAAGAAAAACCAGAAAATAAACAGAAAAGAAAAACAAAGAAAAAGCAAAACATAAAGAGAATTCAACAGAGAAAAAAACAGACCTTAACATCAGTAGGCAGGAAGTAGATGAACATGTAATACCCAATGACAAGCCCAACCGAAGTTCCAATTCCGAAGCCAAAAACACCCAACACAGAGCTCAAAAGACCCATTTTTTCAAAGCTTCTTTTGTTTTAAAAGATCGCTCAAATAGTCAAATCATAGAGGCTAAAAAGTTTTGCTCTGTTCAAGTAAAAACAACACCAAAAGAAAGGAAAAAACCCAGGAAAGGAATTTGAGTAACTAGTTGAGAAAAAAAAAAAACAAAAGAAAGGGAAAGCCAACAGACAAAGAGATATTATTATGGTTTAAATCTTATCAGGAAGAGTGCATTAAAGGAGCATTTAGTGCTTGTGGTCAATCTTTTACGTTCAAAGGAGCCTCTCCGGTTTTGGACCTACCCAACGGCTTTCACTAAGGAATCATCGAACGCGTAAAAGCCTTTGGCCGTCTGTCGGTAACGTCTAATTGGTTGGTTGGATTCTATGAACTCGATCCATTTCATTTTTACTAGCTTAAAGAAAATAAATTTATTAATGGCAATTAATAGGGACCAGTTTTTTTAACTGCTACAGTTGTTTCTATCAAACTGAAAAGCATGGTGCGGTTTTTCTCTGAGTTGGTATCTTATACCAAATTTAAATTACGAATTTAAAAGAATTTACGTACATAATTTTTTTTAATTAAAAAAATAATAAAGTAAAAGTGTTGAAAAATAGATTTAAAATTAAAAATTAGAAAAAAAAAAAAACTGAAAAACATGGTGAGAGAAGACGTATCCAAATAAATGAATTCTATTGGTCTTCCAATTTGTCTTGTTTTCTGATTTTTTGTTTGTGTGGGGAAACTTTTTGCCTCCTTTATGGATTCCAATTTTCGTTTCTTGTCTGTTTCTCCAGCACTAATAGAATGGTGCCGTTTTATAATTTTTATATCTTTCAGCCCAATACCTTAATCATAACGGTCTTTGAAAAAAATATTCTTCCGTTACGTGTTGGGCGGAAATCCCCAATTCCCGTTATTCCATATGTAGATATTCCATTACAAAATTAATGTAATCATTTCAATTTAAGAAATGGATTCTTGTTCTTAAACTAATCAACGACAATAATTGGTTAACATAACCTTTTCATCCCATTAGCAATATTTTTTAAAAAATACTATCAGACTTACTTGAAGTCAAATTTGCATAAATCATAGCAATCTTTCGCTTATCTAATTAGTACTACTTTCAACATTTTATGAGACAACAAAAAGATCGAGTAATCCAAAGCATTATTATTATCTAAATGTTGAATAAAACCAAAGTTTTCTCAAGTGACATAAGTGTCCCTTTCATCCTTGTGGCCAGTTTGGACCTACCACGTGTACAAACCTAACTATCTCTGTTTTCCCCGCCAACGATGGCAACCCATCTGGTAGATTTCTTTGTTTTTCACACCAATCGTCTCAGCATCTCATCTGTTCATATGAAATAGTCGACTCTGTTTTTCATCTTGGTGTTTGAATTTCAGTGCATAGTTAATTATGATAATTTATTTAGCTTCGATGTGTCTTTTACATGAAATAGACTGAGATTTTGTTTCAAGTTGTGGTCACAGCTGTACTTATCTTGAATGGCTGGAGGGCAACTTTTGGTTAGTTGGCTTGCCGTATCTTATGGTATTTAATTCTCGCATTGACGAGAAGTTTTAAGGACGCTGAGAAATTAGTTTCTATAATGGTTCTCTCGAATTAAATTCTAAACGTAGATTTTTCATTACAGGACAAGATGGAATTTAGATTGCTCAGTCAAGTCACTGTTATGCTCTTCGAACATGCCGGGACACAGTGCGCTGGGATGGTCAGGAGTGACCCAATTATGGGTGCTCTCTGTAATCACTTGCCTCAACCGCTTGCTGCTGCTTTGAGAAAGCCAAGAGGATTGTCGTGGACATGTGGTTATTTCAGAAACAAGTATCATTTTCAGTAAAAAGCTGATTGAATTGACCAGGGTCGTAAATTTTTACTCTTCAACTTACAGAAACAGGTTCCCAGTTCCCACCTACCATTCAGGTTGGAAACCATATACTGTTGCTATTGCCTGTTGCTAAAAATAGTAGCGGTTGCTATCAAAACCCAAGGTTGCTTGATTGATGGATTCTCATATGCTAGAGGCATGTGCAATTGTGCAACCAGAGGCGAGTGTATTGGAGAAGCAAATGACCCTCTTGATCATTAGCTTTTGGCTTAAGCATTTAGCCCGAACCTTTAAAACCATCATTCGAGTCATTTCTCCACTGAGAAGCAGATAAAAAAAGACGCATTGACTTGTCACTGGAACTTTATAGGTGAACTCCCAAAGCATAAGGTGCTTTATAATTCGATTTTAATTGAATCAATTTAATTCAATTAAATTTGATTGTTTAATGATAAAAATTTTAAAATTTTTTTAATTTTTAATTAATTCAGTTCAAAATTTGAATTAATCAAAATTTAATTAAAACATAACATAATTCAAATATAAAATAAAAAATACATGAAATGGATAACTTAATTTTATAACTTATTAAAATTTTAAGATAATACTTTAGTACTTAAATATTTTATTGAATAATTTTATTTAATTTACTTAAAATATGAAAATTTTAAATTTTAAAATATAATTTAATTTAAATATATTTATTATTTAATTAAATAAAAAAATAATCAAATCAATGGAATTAAATTTGATCAATTAATTTTTAAAATTTATAAATTCAATTCAATTCAATTAATAAAAATAAATTAAATTAATTTAATTAATTTAATTTTAAAATAATTTGATTCGAAATTAATCTATTCTACACACTAATAAGCACCACCCAAAAAACAAAAAGATATAAAGAACTTGCAAATTCTTCTTCAATCATTCGTCCAGAGAAAAATGTCGCAACGTTTTTAACTTGAAAGCCCAAAAAGGAACAAACAAAGAAGCTAACATCTTTGTTTTGAAGCCAAGAACTTGTGGAAGTGCTAGACCCAAAGCCCGGTGCAGGCAAGTGTAATTTGCAAAATGAATGGTCCGTGATAGCAGATGTTTTCTATTGGGTTAAGCTCTAAAACCATTTCATTAGAGAAATTCAAATTGAGCCCAATGTGGCCATACATTTTTGCCCATAAAATTGGTTTTGGGATCGCCTTTTAAGGTCCATCAACAACTCACTGGACTCAAACTCGACTAGCCCTTTCCCTTTTTCATGGATTATTCAGAATTAAAAAAAAAAAAGTTAGTAATAATTCATCTTTTTTATCGTTTGACCATTCTTTTAAGAAACCCATGTTTTGCTTTTGTTTATTGAGACGTTAAGATGACCCTTTTGTCATGCACGAGCACCGAGTTTACAGGCTTTATTATTATTAATATTTTTTTATGCCCTCTGGCCTTTTTCTTAACTCCAATCATTCCATGGTATCCAAGCACGTTTCACCTTGATAAAGTTCATTTGCTCGACAAGGGATCTTGACAGGATTTTTCTCGAGGAAATCCAAATAATTAAAGGTCGCCTAGAATAGAAAATGAGTAACTCACTGTCAACCACATCGCTTACTGTATCAAAATGGTCGGTGCATCTAAACCGATAATCTCTTCACGTCACCGCCTAATAAAAATATATCAAACATATGATGATATACTGTCCTGTTTTGCATTGCATGTATTATTTTTATACGAGGAAAACATTAAAACACACGTTTAATTGCAAATTGTTATTGAGCAATAGCAAAGTTTAAGTAAAACTTAATGCTATCCGACCTAAGAAAGCAAATTGCTAATGCTTTCTTAAAGCTATTGCCTTTGTTTGAGAGGTCTTCTCTTTTGTGAAAGATGCTTTATAGATGGTTTTCATCACCGTAACTTTTCTTTCTCTTTTTTTATCTTATTATATTTAGAAAAAATAGAAAAGCACATTATCAAACTCAAATTATTTGTTTAAAACAAGCATAATCGTCTCATATCTCTCCAATTATTTCTAATCATATAACTAAATTTATAAAGTTGAAATGAAACCTGCCACTTACTAATTAATTTACTTGTTGCACACCATTGTTATAAGTGATAAAAATCACCTAAAACTTGCCAAAAGAAAAAAAAAAAAACATATTATAGTCTTTATGGAATGTTTTAAACTCGTTTCATTTTAACTATAATTAATTACTTAACTAAACTAATTATATATACTTAAATGCTAGAAAACTGCAAAATGACAAAGCAAATGACCAAAGAAGAAAAAACTAATAATGAACGAAGGAGGTGGCATATGATGACTGTTAGGTGCATGTGAAAGAAACCATTGGTAAAACTTTGAAATAGAAATATGGAAACTCATGATCGAGCAACGAGAACCATCAATTAGTATATTAATGATTTTATTATTGCCTCCGGTACCGATAATATCAACACCGCCAAACCCTGATCTGCTCCATTGGTCGGCATTACTAAATGATAAACTACCTTGTAGTTTACAGCTACTTACGGCCGGGCTTAGATTAGTTTCCCATGTTAGGCAGCCCGCCTTTGAAACGAAGCTATGCTAGACTGCTAGTATCGTGAGTCGTTGCCTTGGCTAGTGCAAATGAGGGATTCCATTTTTTGTATAAGATCATGTGGTCACGTCGAGCTAACGTGTAACGCACGGCCAGTCATGGACCGGAAAATCTCATCAAGCACAGTCAACAGTGGCCGAATAATGAAGGTTTGTAGGACCATTTTGTCACTCGTCAATTTATCATATGCCCTCTGCCCAAAGAAATAAAAATCTAAAATATTTTACTACAAAATATGTAGCCCCTGCTCATTCCCTGTGCACGAGGTCAGAAGGACTCGAACAATACCCTTCCCCCGAAAATAAAAAACAATTGGGCCCCACAAAAAGGAATACGTGTATGGCTATGATTCTTTCCCAGTCCCTTTCAAACCAGAACATACTCGAAGAACCCGAGGAAGTGATCAACGGCTCGTATCTCCTTAACGGCTATATCAAATTATTGAATCCAACGGTCAACATCGAATCGGCGGCTACCGCCCAACAGTGTTTCCCGGGTCGTTGGACTTCGGCTACAACGATTGTCCGTAAATTAGGAGTAATGGTGACATTTTAAATATAATAAAATACAAATACAGTAAAAAATAAAAGTAGCCGTTGGAGCCTTTGAAGGTTATGGCTTCTATAAAATGAGGCCCAGAGTTAAAGTTTGGTACAGAATAAATAATAAAATTCCAAACCCTCTCAGACAGAGCAAAGGGTCTTTCGGATCCGTTTGGTATTGAACAAACATTAACCATCTTTCTCTTGATGCAAGATTTTGTATCTCTTCTTTGATCTGTTTGAGAAATACATGTTTCATTTTGCTTTTTTGTTCTTCAAATTTCCCTAATAAACATTTTTTTTTTGTTTTCATTGAGAAAATCTGTAAAGATTTTCTGTAAAGATTTCCTCTGAGAGATATTGATTTTTCAAGGTTTTGGTCTCAGGCTTTTGGTCATATTATTTCAAAGATCATCGCCTCCTTTTTGTTTATTATAATTTCTTGTTTTTTGTTTTGTAAAAGCTTTCGTCATTTTCCAGGATTTTGTTGACATATTTCCTTTTTTTTTTTTTTTCAAGTTTCAGTCAGAAGTTGTGAAAAAAAAAAAAAACCCAGTATTATGGATGCAATTTTCATGTCATCTTCGTCTGAGAAATCATATTCTCCATACAACCAACTCAAGAATGTTTCACAGAGAAATACTGGAGCTAGTTTCGTTTCAAAACCATGTGAAAACTTAGCTCCTACAAACACCATCCATGGCGGGGGCCTCTTGTTTGTTCCTCCACTGTCTCTTTCCTTCTCTTATCCTCCTTCGCCTTCTCTTCTCAATCCAATATTATATCAAAATCATCAGCAGCAGCTGCAGCAACCACCTCTTCTCCCACTTCCAATCCCTAATAAACCTCTCCAAAGCTCTCTCCCTTCTCGAACCCGAAGCCTTTCTTCCTCTCCTTCTAACAGGAAAAGCAACAGAGCCAGAGAGCAATCTCTCACACCAAAGAGATCAAAATCAAAACAACTCAATGGCAAAGTAGAAGATCAACCAAAGAAAGATCATATAAAGCCAACAGAAGCAACAAAAACACAAACCATAACAAAGTCCTTTGTCATGGCATCAGCTAACCCAATAGGACCTGATCCGAATGATCTCCCCAAGGTCTTAGCATTATCATACATAGCAACAGGTAACGTTGCGAAAGATTTGGAGAAGTTTTCAGGTTCTGTCTTTACACTCTCTCCACCACCTAGCAGTTTGCCTTTGCCTAAGTTTTCGCTTAGACCAAAGCTTAGTTGCAACGCTGAAGCTGCTGGAGTTGATGCTGGAGCCACAGATAATCTCCGACGACTCCTACGTCTCCGTTGAACAACGAAAGTTTGCTCCTTTTGGTTTCCTGGTGCTTTGTGAAGGGTCTATAGCGTAAATAAAGGCCTTACAAATTAAGGGTATGCATTCCTTAATCAAGTAGCATCTTTTTTTTTTGTTCTCTCGTTTTTCTCCTAAAATTTTCTTATATCATGGGAAATATTGTGATCATCTTCCTTTTTTTTTTTTTAAATCCTGAATCGAGGTGCGCAAAAGGAAAAAGGAGAGAAACGAAAAAAAGAAGGGTTAAGGCTTGGGTCAAGAGATTGTTGAAGTTTTCTTTTTTTTTTTTTTTCTTTTGTTCTATCAATCTTAGTGTTGTATTGTAATTATAGATCCGTATGCTGTGATCACCACCTTGTTTTTGAATTGGGGTGAACATAAATTATATGTCAAGGCTTTGCCATTTCTTTTGTTTAATAAATATAAGGTTGTTTCGGAACAAAGAATGTTTCTCTTTTTAAAAATATATTTTTTTTTATGTAATTAATAATCCTACTAGTGTATACGCAGGCATTTCCTGTTTCCATCCTTACTGTGTACTCTTATGGAAAATGAAATCGAATCATGCAAGCATAGTCAGAGTCAGTAGCATCCCACTGTTTATAAGGCCCAATCAAGCCGGCTACCAAGCTATTTTAAGAACCAGAGCAATATATTAAAATTATCTAGGCATTTAGTAGTAATACATTCAATGGAACAAAATTTTGTTCAAGAAAAAGAGGAAAGGAAGAAAGTTGTTTTTATATTTTCTTTGCCTTGGCCCAAAGCAAGGTTTTCAAGTACTTGAAAACCTTCATCATCTGCTCATCTGGATGGCCACTGAGTTCTGGAAAGATGAACAGAGACTCAATTTTCTGAACCCTGCCATTTACATTTCGGGCACCTAAAAAACCTTCATCATCTGCTCATCTGGATGGCCACTGAGTTCTGGAAAGATGAACAGAGACTCAATTTTCTGAACCCTGCCATTTACATTTCGGGCACCTAAGGTATACAGTCTGCCCCTCATCTGCTGATCTCGTCTGGAGAGAAAGAGAGACCGGGAAAATAATAAGTTAATTGATCAGGAATCCGCTACACAGAAAAAGAAAATGTTCATTGAGATGTGGTTTTACTTGTCTGGTACTGTATTCAAGCTCTTGGTTTCCACAGCTTTTACAAGTCTGTTTGATCAACTGCAAGTAAAATTAATACTAAAATTGTGAGTAGCAGATTTCAAGAAAAGCCACTATCTTTTAACTTTATAAAAGTAATTACCGCTGCTGATTCTTTTGTTGTCATCTCTTCACTAACATGTGAGATGCCCAAGTCTCTCCGAATATCCTGCTTCACGAAAAGTAAATGAAGTAAAATAACTTCACGTCAAGAACATGAATGAGGCTATCAGCAAGCAAATACAACAAGCTGATCTACATGCAACATTCTCAACATATCAGTATGAGTTCGTAATTTCTACAAAGAATTGGCCTGTTTTTGAAAGAACACAAGGGAAAAACCAACAATGATAGACTTGTTAGGTGCAAACGTGGAACATCCTTTCTCGCATACTAAATCTCTAGCCACTTGGAACATCTCAATATCTGAAGGAAAAGTTGCTAAATCTCTCTTTCTCTGATTTGAAGCAAGATACCCACCCAAAAAAAACTAAGAAAGCAATATCCCAGTTCACTTGCAATCTCTCACTATCTATGAGATTCAGAATCCACAAAGCCAATTGATTAAAAGACTATTCATTTACAACCCCACCCCCTCCAAATAATGAAAGCAGATTTATATCATTATCATCATCTTTTTTCAACATATAATTAAACTGCCATCATCATATCAGTGATAGCTTGCCAACAAAATAGAAGTACCAAAGGCATACCTCAGCAGTAATAGTATAACCTATTTCTCTGCCCAAAATCCCTGAAAGATAGTGGTGACAATTTAGTAAAGTAGACAATCAAGAAGATAAAACAATAGTAAATCAAGTGAATACCTTTTGCACTTGGTTTAGACTTGCACAAAGGGCATTCTGCATACTTGGGTGATACCAAAGACAGCATTGTACCACACAAGCTACAGAACATGAAGTCACGCGCCTGAGAATATGCCATGAATCTTACATTCAACAAATTGTCGACTGGGGCGTTTTATACAGATCAAAGAAGCTGAAAAGATAAATTGTCTCCTTCAGAAACTATCGACATGGACATTTTTATAAGATCAGAGAAAACTGAAATTTAAAAAAAAAAAAAGAAGCAATTGTTTTTGTGAAGAAGGCTTAAACTAGCACAACAAAACCATTAAAACTACCACAAAGGTTCTCCGAGAAATAACTACAAACACTTACGACTCAAGGATACCCAGATGCATGGAGTAAAATATAGCACTCAACATTCCATTTTTATTAACCATACTTCAAAAAAAAAAAAAAACTTTCCAACATATTGAAACAAAAATTGCAAAAAAAAAAAAAAAACCCTAAAATCTAATTATCAAAAAAACAAAATACCCCAACAAAAGTTAAAAAAGAGAACAAGAAGTTAGAGTAACTGACCTCAACAAAAGGTAAAAATCTCTTATTCGTATTTTGTTATGACTAGCTCCCGCCGATGTTGCTGGGGAAACTAATAAATGATAAACCCTTGTTTGTGGTCAGAGTCTCAGAAAAGTATTGTACTAGAACCCTAGAAGCAGGAGAAGAAGCAAACCAGTTAGCACTTAGGCCTAGTAGGCCAATTCTGATTTCTTGAAAGGCTGTCAACTGCAGGCCCAAAGGACTACTTTCTAGTTTAGGCCTTAGGCTACGCCGAAGAGCCCGTTGTTGTATTAGCCCCAAAGTCTTAAATTCTGGGTCCAAACTGCAGTCAATGTGATATCTAGAGGCTTATCTCAGTTAGCCATAAATAGGAAGATTTTGTGTTGGTCGGAATTCTCTCATTTTAAGTGTCCTTACGTCATTTAAAGGCGTGAAGACCCAATCTGAAGAAAAGCTGTTGAACACTTTGATTAGAATTTAATGGCCGAAAGCAATCTTGTTTAACATAACGTTCAAACATCTGTGTAGGGTATGAAAGATTGAAAGAAAAACCAAAATTAGAAGAAATAAACATTATTCACATCACCTCATTTCGGTAAAATGTCAAGAATCAGGTTGTAAATGTAATCCAAAAAAAGGTTGCTTTAACTAAAAAATGAAAGACTGTGAATGATTCATGCACTTGACTAAGAATTTCAAACATGGAAGTTTATCAAAGCTAGCAAAACAAATTTCCGAACATCACATGGCAGGCAGGGCGGTCCTTCAATTCCTAACCGCCATGATAAGAGTGGCCCTGAGGAGTAAATGTCTCCAGTTGCCACACTAATTGTTTACAAAAACAAAGGTCCACACAGAAGAATAGATCGCTATTAAGTGGATGATGATGGTCATAAAACAACTAAACCGGCTTGGGGGGTTTTGCCTTAATTACATGGAAAAATGACAGCAATTTGACTGATGTTTTCTTTAACATAAATAGGTAGCACTGATTTGATTCAAAAGACAGTTAAGGAGCCGAGTTGTTGGTTGGTTGGCCAACTAAATTAACTTTACATTTATAGGCGCGGGAAAGGACTGCATCTCATCAAACACCAACACAAGAACTCTGTGAAGCAATTCCTTTCTTTCTTCATTTCCTTTTATCATCTCTTTGTCTCCTTCCTAAGTATATGAGGGTGTTTTTTCTTGGTAAATTGATCTACACTGTAAAATGGAAGAAGTAGAGCTTAGTGACCAGAATTCGGTTCCAAAAACGGAGCAACAATCAAATTCAACCAAAAGGAAGCCTGTTTCATTCCTTGGTCTATTTGCAGCTGCTGATAAATTAGATTATGCCTTGATGTTTTTCGGAAGCTTAGGGGCGTGCATACATGGGGCTGCTCTTCCAGTGTTCTTTATTTTGTTTGGACGCATGATAGATTCTTTAGGACATCTGTCTTCAGATCCTCACAAATTGTCTTCTCGGGTTTCTGAGGTACCATACAACTTCTCTTTTTTTTTTTTTTTTGGGTTCTTGAGTTTGCCTGCAATTGATAACCGATCACTGGAACTAAGAGTCCAGCACTTCAATATCCTGTCCCACGTGACTATTAATTCTGATATCTCTGTTTAGTGATGACTTGGAAACTTGCTGTTTTAGAGCATATTTAACTCGATCAGTTTCAGTCGTGTCGAGTTCTGCGTGTGTATCGTGTCCAGTTCTGATAATTTGTGTACATTTTTATGTTGGATCTTGAAGTTGTTAAACAAAAATTTATAAAAAAAAAATCAGGTTCTTTAACTTCTGGGAAAGTGACTTAGTTGAAGTCTATCATGGCAATTCTTGCAAGAAAGATTTGAGATGTTCTCCAGAAGTGGCTATTCGACTGTTATTATCAAGTAAATTTTACAATGCAAAGTTTACAAGCTAGAGACGTACAGTGCAATGACACAATCAGGAGGCATTTCCATAATCAATTCTAAGCAGGCTTATCATTTCTATCTTAATACCTTTTTACTTCTGTTTATTCTCGTTTTTTTCTTCCAATTATAATGTGAATTCTACTGAAGTATATCATTTGGAGAGTCACTGTAACAAAAAGCATGAGTTTCCTTAATCAGAGTGCATAATTTATCCAAAAAATTTCACAGCATAACAAAAATTTGACCAGATTTTGTTTAATATTTGACACTTTTTTTTCCCGCAGAATGCTCTGTACTTGGTCTACCTTGGTCTTGTTGTTTTCGCATCAGCATGGATAGGTGTGTTTCAGGTTTCTTAGTCCTCTCTGGCTGCTACAGCTTTCCTGGAGTATTAACATCCTTGTTTATCTTTCAGGTGTTGCATTCTGGATGCAAACCGGGGAAAGACAGACAGCTCGTTTGCGTCTGAAATACCTTCAGTCAGTTTTAAGAAAAGATATAAACTTCTTTGACACTGAAGCCAGGGATTCTAACATTATTTTCCATATTTCAAGTGACGCAATTCTTGTCCAAGATGCAATAGGTGACAAGGTATATTATCAAAAAGAGGTATGTTGGAAAATTTGATAAGATACTTCTTTAACACTATTCTCTTGTGCATCTTGATGCAGACAGGCCATGCTTTCCGTTACCTTTCTCAATTTGTCGTTGGGTTTGCCATCGGATTTACATCTGTATGGCAACTTACACTACTCACCTTGGCTGTAGTTCCACTGATAGCTATTGCTGGTGGAGCTTATACAATTATTATGTCTACTCTATCAGAAAAAGGTGAGGCTGCTTATGCTGAAGCTGGGAAGGTCGCTGAAGAGGTAAATTGCGTACATATTTTACTTTATAATTAAGAAAGCTTGATTCCCAGCACACTCCTAGAAGAAGCAATGCCATGGTACAAGATATACCAAGCTGTTAGAGTTTAAGAATGATATTGAACATTTCTGCTTCTTCTATTGTTTATCGACTTTATTTCACTATGAGCATATATATATGTGTGTGTGTGTGTAACTGGAAGTTTGTATCCTGGTTCTTATTTTGCAGTGGACTCCGTACTTCTAAACTAACCAACAACATTCACATATCTTCAATTTGATTGCACAGCTATGCCAACTACTTTTCTCAATCTTTCCTACTTATGGGGTAGCTTTTTCTTGCCTTTTGATTCAGGTTATTTCACAGATTCGCACAGTATATGCATTTGTCGGGGAGGAAAGAGCAATTATAGCATACTCTAGTTCACTTAAAGATGCGCTTAAAATGGGGAAGAGAAGTGGACTTGCAAAGGGTGTGGGTGTTGGATTTACGTATGGGCTGTTGTTCTGCGCCTGGGCCTTGCTTCTCTGGTATGCTGGCATACTTGTCAGACATGGCAAAACAAATGGAGGGAAAGCATTCACAACAATTATCAATGTCATTTTTAGTGGATTGTAAGTATACTTTGAATGTGGCAAAAAATGTTACCGGGTTCTATCTCTCATTAATCATACTTTATGATAAAAAAACAGGCGTTTTCCTTTTTCAGTGCTTTAGGTCAAGCAGCGCCAAACCTTGCTGCCATTGCTAAAGGCCGGGCAGCTGCTGCCAATATCTTCAGCATGATCGAAACAGACTCAAAGCCTTCAAGACAGTCGGATGGTGAAACTATGTTACCAGATGTTGCTGGGCAAATTGAGTTCTGTGAGGTCTGTTTTGCTTATCCCTCACGGCCCAATATGGTGTTTGAGAATTTGAGCTTCTCAATAGATGCTGGGAAGACGTTTGCAGTTGTAGGTCCCAGTGGCTCAGGAAAGAGTACCATCATATCCATGGTTCAACGTTTCTATGATCCCACTTCAGGTAAGCAACAAAATTATGAATTGAGTTGCAGAATAGTTTTACTTCTAGTTAATTTATGGAACTTTAAGTTTGTGGCTGATGCACCAGAGTTCACCAGGTAAAATACTATTGGATGGGCATGATCTTAAGAATTTCCAGTTAAAATGGTTAAGGGAGCAAATGGGATTGGTTGGTCAAGAACCAGCACTTTTTGACACAACAATAGCTGGCAATATCCTACTTGGTAAAGAAGATGCAGATATGGAGCAAGTTATACAAGCTGCCAAAGCTGCTAATGCACATTCTTTCATTGAGGAACTGCCTGATAGTTATAATACACAGGTGTATTCTCCAAACTGCCTCTTGCATTGCGCAAGAAACTGAAATAATTAAACAGTGGCCCTCCTTTTGTGATGATATCGAATTTCATTCTTTAACTAGGAAGATTATTCATCTTCAGAAATGCATATCAGCTTTCAACCCTGAGATTCCATTTCTGTTTTGAAACAGTAAAAACTTAGAACACTTTATGTTATATCAATTTGATAATATGAGAGACATGTATCAAATTTAATGAACTAGGATGGCCACCTTTTAGTTTTTGCTATTTTTACTTTTTCCACAGATCTGTGACCAATCCTCAAGGGTAATGCTTTGACAGTTTGTTGAATTTAGGTTGGAGAGGGAGGAACTCAGCTCTCTGGAGGGCAAAAACAAAGAATTGCTATTGCAAGAGCCGTGCTGAGAAACCCAAAGATACTGCTTCTAGATGAGGCCACAAGTGCTCTTGATGCAGAATCAGAGCTCATAGTTCAGCAGGCACTAGATAATATAGTGTCAAATCGAACAACAATTATTGTGGCACATCGATTATCCACTATTCGAGATGTTGACACCATCATTGTTTTGAAGAATGGCCAGGTTGTTGAGAGCGGGAGCCACATGGATTTGATGTCTAAGGATAGAGAATACGCAACTCTAGTCAGCTTACAAGTATCGGAACACATTGCAAATTCAAGCTCTATATGTCATTCTGATGCTTCTGGAAGTTCTAGCTTCCGACAACCTCCAAACAGTCAAAATCCTGAGCAGGATTCATGGTCAATTTCAACAAAAGAATTGTGGCAAAGTGATCAAAACTCATCTCAGCAAAACTATGCTCCTACCCCATCAATATGGGAACTACTAAAACTAAATGCACCAGAATGGCCCTATGCACTGCTTGGCTCGGTTGGTGCAATTCTGGCGGGCATGGAAGCTCCACTGTTTGCCTTTGGAATCACCCATGTCTTGACTGCATTCTACTCTCCTGATGATTTCCAAATTAAGAAAGAGGTTGAAAGGGTGGCTCTTATATTTGTTGGTCTGGCTATTCTTACGATTCCAATATATCTGCTGCAACACTACTTTTACACCTTAATGGGAGAGCGCCTGACAGTTCGTGTCCGTTTATCAATGTTCTCAGGTTCTGTTCTACATCTCAATCTATAAAGCTGACTTTGATATTACATTGATGGAACATTAATCACATTGGCAAATTGTCTGAACTATGAATATTTTCACTGATATATACGTGTTTGCACAGTAAATTATACATTTCACAGTTTATATTTATTGTATTATAACCTATTTAGATTTGTTTTTCTCTTCAAGTGCAGCTATCCTTTCTAATGAGGTTGGCTGGTTTGATTTGGATGAGAACAATACTGGTTCATTGACAGCAGCTTTAGCTGCAGATGCAACCCTAGTACGGAGTGCTCTGGCTGATCGACTGTCCACAATTGTGCAGAATGTAGCACTTACTGTGACAGCATTTGTGATTGCATTCACTTTAAGCTGGCGTTTAGCATCTGTTATCATTGCCTCCTTTCCCTTACTCATCGGTGCTTCCATAACTGAGGTAAAATTTAGAAACAACCTTAACTGTAATTAGGTTTTTTCAGTTATGTATATAAATGGCACTGCAGTCCTATTTCAATTTTTGTACCAAAATTGCAGCAATTATTTCTAAAAGGATTTGGAGGGAATTACAGCCATACCTACTTCAGAGCAACTGCTGTGGCACGTGAAGCAATTGTCAACATTCGTACTATTGCTGCATTTGGTGTTGAAGACCGGATCTCAAACCAGTTCGCCTCTGAACTAAACCAACCAAATAAGCAAGCATTCTTAAGAGGTCATATTTCAGGTTTTGGATATAGTGTATCACAGCTGTTTGCATTCAGTTCCTACGCCCTCGGCCTTTGGTATGCATCAGTGCTAATCAAGCATAACGAATCCAACTTTGGAGACATCATCAAGTCCTTTATGGTTTTGATAATCACTGCACTGGCAGTAGCAGAAACACTTGCTCTTACACCAGACATTGTGAAGGGATCACATGCCCTTGGGTCTGTTTTCGGAATTCTCCACAGGAGAACATCAATAGAACCAAATGATTCCACATCAAACATCGTAACCGAGATCAAAGGAGATATAGAGTTCAGAAATGTAAGTTTCAAGTACCCAATGAGACCTGATGTAACCATTTTTGAGGACTTAAACCTGAAAACTTCAGCTGGAAACAGTCTAGCTGTAGTTGGACAAAGTGGGTCCGGGAAAAGCACTGTGATTGCACTAATTATGCGATTTTATGATCCCATTGCCGGAGGAGTGCTGATTGATGGTTTTGATATTAAGACATTAAACTTGAGATCGTTAAGGCTAAAAATGAGTTTAGTTCAGCAGGAGCCGGCATTGTTCTCAACTACGATATACGAAAACATCAAGTATGGGAAGGAGGAAGCATCAGAAATTGAGATACTGAGTGCCGCAAGAGCAGCCAATGCTCATCGATTCATCAGCAGAATGCCTGAAGGATACCAAACTAACGTGGGTGACAGAGGGGTGCAATTATCAGGGGGCCAAAAGCAGAGGGTGGCAATCGCTAGAGCAATTCTGAAAAACCCTTCCATTCTTCTTCTGGATGAAGCTACAAGTGCGTTGGACACAGAATCTGAGAAACTAGTTCAAGAGGCACTGGATAACCTCATGGAAGGCCGTACCACAGTTGTGGTAGCGCACAGGTTATCGACTATTCGTAATTCAGATAGCATTGCGGTGCTGAAACAAGGAAAGGTAGTTGAAATTGGCAGCCATGAGCAGCTGAGTAGGAAACCTGATAGTGTCTATAAACAATTAGTCAATCTACAGCAGTAAAGGAACATCCATGACCCCGGCCAATTTTCTTGTACAAGTGGGAGGCTTGATTGATAAATGAACATGATTTCCAACTGCTTGTGAACAAAGCTTTGCATTAAAAATTTTACATTGCTGTCCCTATTATGTAAGCATTTGAAGCATACAGTAGGTTAATTGGATTGATGTATCATGTGATTTCTACCATAAACAATACCAAATTGAGCAAATTCGATCACCATTAAAAACACCCAGAATTGTTAACTACACTATAAATAAACTCTGCAAAGGACAAAATGTTCGGTCGATGCATTTTCAAGTTTCAACATTCGGCTTTTAATGTGTGATAGTTACTGCAAAGCACTCCCCAATTATGTGTTAAAGTCAAAGTAAATGGTCCCTCACTCCCTCGCGTTTTTTCCACCATTTCGACGTTATGGCACTGTGAAAGAAGTAGATGACTGGAATTTTCCATGCAGGTGCTTCCAACTACAGGTCAAAGTCTTCGTCCCATGACTTTCGAATTATTCTTAGTTCCTATGACTCGTGCCATATTTCCATTTTTGATTCTACACATAATTAAACGCTCATAAAATTTGTTAATTACATAGATTAAAATTTTTCAAAATAAGAATATGCGATATTCTAATTTTCTATTAAAAAATTATGATAATCTGTTATAATATATAAATAAAAATTCAAATTCAAATACATAAAATATTTTTTATAAAAAAAAAAAAAACGTAAAATTTTCATATTCAACAATATAAATTGAATGTGAATGCTTATAGAATATCATATTGCTTATCATACCAAATGAGAAACAAGGGAGGAAAAGCATGTGCTGAATTTGTATCAATTTTGACGAGGCAAAAACGCTCCAATTCGGATTTCCAAGAAGGGGTTTAATTATTTTGGTTCATGAACACATGCATTAATGCACCCATCTTCATGAACCCTAACACATCAACTAAAGTTTGGCTAAAATACCATGAACCGCCCCTATTCAGTTCTTGAACTCTTGGTTGCCTTTACTGACTTTCGAGGAAGTTGGTACAACAACGTTGGGACAGGAACCTCCTTTTTCTATAACCATGGCTTAAAAAAATGGGTAATCTTCACTGCACTTTAAACAGGTTCAGTTATTATTATACTATTGAAAATCATGTATCAATCCATAATAAAAGTGGTAATAATGCTGTTACCTTGTTACAGACAAGGTAAACATTTCACATTATATCTCCTCCCCATCATACTCTCACATTTATGATTGATCAACTTCAAATTTTGCTCAATTTCACACAAATTTTGCTCAAATCACATAAATTAGTATAAGATAATTCAATCTTTTCAAAATGAAAAAAATTATTTTTGATTCATAAGAGTGAATTTATATATTTTATTGTACTCTTAAAAATTATATTAATAATTTAAATTATATAAACTTAAAAAAATAATTTTGACTAATAAATAAAATTATTCTATCATACTCCTTACACACATTAAACATAAAATATGATAATATTACTTAATATAATCATAATCATAATATTATTTATTTTATTTTATCATAATTTTGTGTATCAAATAAATACATATTTTTAAAATTAAGATATTCTTTAACAAAATTTATATTTTGTTTATAATAATATTTTTTATTAAATGTGATAATTGATAGTTAATATGCTAATTTTTAATATATTAAAACACTAATTAATAAAAAAATAAGACTTGGAATTTAGAGACGTAAAAAAAGACATTCATTTTGTCCTAGGCGTCACCAAAACCGACGTCGTTACATGTGAGAAGACGATAGAGTTAAAAAAACGAGATACCATCCTCCACTTCACTTTTCCTTCCAAAAGAAACAAGATTTTTGCTATAAAGAACACTTAGGATTAAACGACAACGTTTTTGTAATTCCAATCCAACCCGGTATTTATTTATATATTAATTTCAAGGCCGTACCCGACATTCCCTACTCATTTACTCGTTAAACCGGATTCTTTAATCCTTTATCATCAGCACCCAACCCTCACATCCGAGCTCTTTAACTATTTACTGAGTTGTAAATTTATTATTAGGATTAGAAGAAGAAGAGGAAAGTTGTGGGTGGGGGATATGGCGATATCGGATGCGGTGGTTGGGAATTTGGTGATGATCTACGTGGCAGTGATAGCGGGCATAAAAGCTTATGGTTTAATATGTGGGCGGAGCTTCGGTGGTGGGTTTGTGCTGATTTTGTCGAGCACGGTGGTGGGTTTCATCTTGATTGGGACTCTGACGTGGGACGTCACACGTAAAGCTACGTATGCGATTTCCCGTGGTCAAGCCTCTTCCGTTCAAGTTCACGAGATGTGTAAAGGTGGTATTTGCTGGCACGGCGTGGCGGTTCGCTCCCCTGCTTCGCAGCTCCGGTTCAGACTCCCTCAACAAATCCCTTACGGTTCTTTGTAAAAGGTAAATAAAAAAGTTGAAAAAAAGCTGAACAAAAAAATGGGACTTTTGAGTTTCGAAGCTGTAAGATAAAGCGATGGGGTGTTTGGTTTTTTTTTTTTTTTTAATTGAATTTTGGTTGAGAGGAATATAATAGTGTATAAAGTTATAAAGTAACAAATGAGATGGAAGACGTGTTGTGAATAAATAATTCTCCGTCACTATTTTTTTTTTTTACCAACCAAAGTTTGTTTGAAAACAGAGGAGGAAGAATTTTCATAGTTTAATTGCTTAGTTTGATGACTTTGGTCGGCCTACCAACAAGAACAAAGCATTTTTTCTAGGAAGAAGTCCTGGATTCTCAAAAAGATGATTGCAGCTCGTTGTCGGAAGATGTCAGAACTGAGGTTGGGTTGGCATTTTTATATACTATTTTTTTCAGGAAAATAAGGAATAAGATTACTTTATAAAAAACTGATGTATTTGTACTGATGACTGATGTTCATATAAAACATGTGTGTTTATTGGTTTGTCAGTTTTTAGAGTAAGTCATGCTTTTCCGTAGAACTTTGGTTTTATTTTTTTTCTTCTGTTGTTTCCTTATGGATACAAATAGCAGTACATATTTTGGGATCTATTCCTTATTTCCAGAGGCCAAGGATGACGATGGATTGGATGGAAAATATCGATAGCTCTCGCTTCGTTTTGATGTCAAGCCCAAAATTTAGTGGTGAGAAGAAATACCGCTGTGGTGGCTGGTGCCATTTGTTGATTCCTAAACAAAAACGCAAAGCAATCCCGAGCTAAAGCCACTAAACTGATTAACTCGGCGATTCTGGACCCAAATCAAAATGTTGCTGAAGAGAAGAGAAAATCTAAAAATCGTAAATCCTGACCTGGTCATTGGATTTTGTCATGGGTTGTATTTTGGTGGAAGTACTAATAAAAGTAGACTAACTAGTGTACATGATGAAGCTTTTTGGTAGTTGTTTTCTAGACATGATATTAGGCGTTGCATTCACTAAAGATGGACGTATGAAAGGAAGATGGTGATTTTGTCCCGACCCTTAAACCAATTCTTTTAACGAAAAAGACAGTTAAAATAAACACAAAAATGGCAGGAGGTATTAGATGTGTTTTTAAACATTGGTCTTATTAGACTCATGTATAAGCCGAAGATGGTGAATTCTATCCATTGATTTGACTCTCTAGGTCTAGTCGCAATCTTTCAACAATGAGGAATGATCGCCAACTTTAACTTCCTAGTTTGATCTATAGTTGCAATTCAAATTTAACAGGAAAAAAAAAAAGATTTGAAAACTGCCTTTCGCCCCTCTCTAACACCCGAATCAGGTAACAACAGCAGAAGAGTATAAAAGAACAAATACCAGGTCACAATCAAAAAGAGTTCCAATTAGAGAAAAAGGCCCATTTTCTATGTTAAAGAGGCATAGAATTCCACTCCACAACCATCGATTTTTTTTTCTCAAACTAAATAAGCTATACATACCTTCACGTCTCAGGCTGCCAGGCATAATCCTTTACATTCCCCGATAATTTAAAATTTAATGGCTTCAAATTTCTCACCCATTACACCGCCTTTTTGTTTCTGGAACTGAATGTAACGCAATGTACTGGCAAGGAAAGCATCTGAAGCAGTATCTGGTGTTGCAGAATCACTCTGCATCTCCGTGTTGATTAATTCTATCAGGTCTTGGATTGCAGCACCGGTGATTTGTTGATTTCCTTTTTCAAAGAAGTAGAGGTACCTAAAGTGAAGTCACCAAAATGCATGTTTATGGTGTAAAGATTAAGCTGTGTAGTATGAGAAGGTTCAATTTGGTACAGCTCTAACCACTCACTTGTTCAATATCTCAACAAAGAGTATGACTGGCCCACTGCTACCTCGTGCAACATTTGCCATTTGCTGAGCAGCATTTGCGATCCTCAATGCACGTTTTAGGCAAAGCAGGACCCTGCAACCTCTCCCATAATTTTTAAGTTCTAACTATTAAAAGGAAATTATCTATTTGCATAACAGGATAACAAATACCCCTGAACGGGGAGGGGATTGTTAAAGAAGCAATCGACAGTGTTTTGAAGTGCAGACATGACAATAGCAGAAAAATCGTCAAGCCAAAACTGGTTAGGTATGAGGTCAAACCTTTCCCCATCCTTAATGCCGTCCTGATCATCGACCCAGAAGAGATGTGAACATGCATAAACAGCTCTGCACTGATCAGGCTTCTTTAATAGCCGAGCTGAATACTGACCAAAGCAACACAAATTTAAGTTTTGCATGAACAGATCAATAAAGCAGAATAATCAGAGAATAGGAAAGCATTATTACCCCTGTGGTCTTGTGTGTCATAGTATCTCGGTTCTCAACACCAAATACATTCATCCTCTGCAGGGTACCAATTATCAGATGAATTGCAGTCACTTGGGCTTTAGAGTCCTAAAAGCAACAAACATACATGAAACTACACAAATTAGAAGGATTGAATGTGACTAACTTCATGGCTTTTTGATTGAAACATAAACTGATAAGTGACAATTACCGCAATTTCTTCTTCATATAACACAAACGCTTGAGTGAAAAATTCATAAGCAACAAGCTCAAGATCACAGCCATTAGCTGCCTGATAGTTAGCAGGAAACAGAGAAAGGACAAAATCAAGGTTAGAAGATTCAATGTAGAATTTAAGAAAATCTTTGTCAAAGAAAATACAAAACTGGAGACAAAATAAGCAACTGTTCATGATGCATGAATTATCATTATCATAATGGTGGACTGTGGTTAAAGTTAAGTCATTATGATGGGGATTAAAGATGACAACACCCTCTTAGCATCTAAAACAGAAATACTGATACATAATATATGGAATCAAGAAAAACTTAAAGAAATATCAGTAATGACCCCAAGTATGTTAGAAATAAAGCTGATTGTTCTTGTGCACACCTCTCCGTCAGAAATCTCTTGCTTCTTGTGAGCAGCATTATTGATCTTAGTATGCCTTTTCCCTAATACTAATTAGAAAAATGGCATGTTGCTCTTAAAATGCAATAAAACTTGTTAATCTTCAAAGAAATTCTTGGAGTTCCATTAAGTTATTTAATGAATGAATTTATTAAATAGCATAATCAAGACTCAAGATCACCTCAGCACATTGCAGGTACAACCTTAACGCAAGTTCAGGTGAAGGAACAGCTGAAAGAGCCTCGATGATCTGAAAGAAGAGCTATTTGTGTGACCTTTTGGACAATGAAATAATAAGGACATACACATTGCATAAGAAACAGTGATAAACCCATTAAAAAACAGAGAAACCTGAGTCAAGAGCTGAAAAATTTTCTTTGGTGTTGCTGGAACTTCTTCTCCCACTATATCTCCCTCCTGACCTTGCAATCGCCAAACCAACTGCACAGAAGCACTACATTAAGCCTGACTCATATTCACTAGCAATATTATCTGTATTTATCCATATATATATATATTTTGCATTTTGTCTCAATAAACTCTGAAAATATAGGTACATATACACCACAACACACCATGTTTTTTGTTGGGGAAAATTGGGGGAGGGGGAATGAGGGGGAAGGATCTAAGAGAAAATTATAATGATTATACCTCAAAACCCAATTGTCTGCATGCATCATCTTGTAGGGTTGTACTGATAATCATTTAATACTTCAATGAAGTAGATGGAAATAAAATGAGACGATACAATTTGGAAAAGGAAGAAACATACCCTAAGTGCAGAAAAAACAAGTGAAGGAACTGTAAAGGGCAGGCGTTTTGGGCCTCCAGCCATGGTATGCTTCCTCACAATACATATAATCTGAAAGAGAGTAAGTTATAATGAACATTCAGGGGAAAAAGTTTTGGATCAGTCAAAAACAACATAATTAAATGAAAACATTGCAATTAAACAAAAAATTATCCTAAATATGATACAGCAGTGACATTTTGTGAGAAGTAAACAGGCATTAACCTTAGTCACAAGCAGAAGGTTTTAAAGTTCCATTTTCCTATCCTTTAATACTATACACTTATATATTGTATTTGGCATATCTTGGCCTGATAATGGTCAGGGATATTAGCATAAAAAGAAGCATTGGAAAAACTTACCTTCAACATTTCCTCTGGTTCATCGTTATAAAGCATGTGTATGAGCCGAGCAACAGAATTTTGTTCATCCTTGAAATCCTCCTCATCAAGCTATCGGTAGATACATAACATGTGAAGAACACAAGAAAGGAGAACCATATGTTGGTAACTTATGCACATTCACAAAAACATGATAGGGAAATAAATAATAGAGGAAGAAATAATCTAATATGGATTAGGAAATGGAGTAATGGAGAGTTACTCATATAATTCAAATTATTCAATTTTTATAGAATAACAGAAAACTTCTAGTTTTAACATGCACCTCATCCACGTCAGCACCATCCTTGTCCTTAATGAGACCTTTTATTAATTCAAATAACACCTCAACCTACAAACAGCAATGTTTCTTTCTTCAACAAAAGAATTTGATATAATTACAGCAATAGAGAAGACTAACGAGGCGTACCTTGTGAGCAGTTGAAATGAAAGTGTTATTCTTCATAATGCTTTGAATGATAACCATTGCCATGACTTTATTTGTTCCATTATCAAGATGGTCCATTACACGTGGATAATTAGAAAGTGTCAGGGCTGTTACTATGTCATTGTATTTCTCCAGTGGAGCACTCAAAAGTGCAACTACTTGTTTCATTGCCCGGCTATCTTCAAGTTTTGGTATGTTATAGAGCTTCTTAACACAGGCTCCCTGTTAGAAAAGATGAATAATAAAGAAGAACGATTATTACTCTGATACAAGTCCATCCTGTAAAATAGCATTGCCAAAGTTACGGCACTAAAGGAGATGATTTCTAAATCGAGTTCTCAGAGGAAACATACCAGTACTTGATCCACATAATCAAGTCGATCAGGATGAACACAAAGAGTAAAGGTCAGAAGAGAGACATACAAAGTTATAGCTCCAACAGCAGGCATGTCAACCTGTGCTTCTATGACCTGCCATTGAATCATACCCAATCAACTAGTAGAAAATGAACCATGATTTCACACTATACACATCAAAAACAGAGAAATGTGTTTACTGGTAGGAAAAATGGAAAAAGGCGTAAGAGTCGGGTCATCATCCACAAAACTAGAGGTTGCATGTTCAGGGGCCATCATCGGAGTTGCTCATGTCAAGGCATTCACATTCTTTAATTGAATCATTCCTTTATAACATTGAAAACAGTTTCAAGGTAATTTGCAACTTCAGGGTGAGAGAGTAATAGCTTATTTACCTTCCCAATTGCATTGCTCAATTTAGTGAAGGCTTCTACTTGTAGAAATTCAGGTAATACCTAGCATAAAAAGTTAGTCAACAACCTGGAAAAGTGTGAAGAGTAAAAGTTGTTATGCTGATAACTTACATCTTCACTTGAAGCAGCATAATTTGACAATCTGTCCATCAGTCGAGACAAAACTGTCTTGACGTCAACTGTTGGCTATGATGAAAGAAGAAAAATGTATTTGTTGAGCTTAGTGGCCCCAAAATATAGATCAACCATAAAACAAAATAAAAGAAACCCATAAGCTTTAAACCAAAAAATTGGTTCCAAAGAACAAGATCCTCCAATACATGAGGAGATCACACAGAAGAAGACACAGTCCTTCTAGGCTATTCCACAACGCATGCTCACTTTATGGAACATAAGAGTAGGCTTAGGAACGCAGGGCTTGTTAAGAAAATAAGGTACTGGAAACTCCTATGGAAACAATCAAACTAGCTAGCAAATAAGAAATAAGTCAGTCAGGGGCAGCGTTATTCTGTTCCCTGATCACAGGAAAATGGTAACCAGTCATCAAATTTTCTAGTCACAATACTGACTTCACCATTAAGTAACTATTGAGAAACAGCAAGCATGATAGCTAAATTCTTGAGGTGGAGAAACTCAAAGCAAAGATGCCATAGCATGGTAACTAGAATAAAGCCTCAAGCTAACAATTGTGTTAAGTGATATTAGTGTCAGGTGGCCCAAGGAGGGAGGGGAAAAAACAAGGTGTGATAAGAAGATTGATTTCCATCACCCACCTGGAGCTGGGGGCAAGCACCCAATAATGTCTCAAGAGTCTGCAAGTGATACTCATCAGGAAAAACCTGAATTATGCAATCCATCAAATAATATTGGGCAAGATCATCTTTGCAATTGACAACCTGTAAAAGAACCAGATAACTTTTTTTAATGCTACAGACTTATGAATTATAATATAGATAAAAAAAAAAGCAGTGGAGAAAGAAGTAAAATTGCCTGCTCTAACACTCTGGTTAGAACTGTTTCTTTGTATATCCCAAGGTCCACCCCTTCTATCTGACTGAGAACATGGAGATTTTTCCCTACCTAATAAGAAAGTTTAAGACAAGCATAAATTCCCTCAAATTTGCATAAAGCAAACTGCTTCAAAGTTCAGCCAATAAAAAATTTTAGATTATTAATATTACCAGATCTCGAAGTTCACTCCTTTCTTTTTCCTGCTTCTCTCTAAATCTACCAGGTCCCTGCAGACCAGAAATCCCAATTGAAGGCTTCAACTCAGGATGACCAAAGAGTATCAATGATTCACAAGCACCATGACACCTGCATGGCCAAAATTTGTGCTCTCATGATTTATTCACTTCCATGGCATGCAAGTACAATGGTGCAACGCATATCTGAGAAAATAGTGACAACAGTTATTCAACGAACCTGATGTTGCATCTGCACCCAAAGTTTATTCATCTCTGTGAAATTCTGCAGCACAAATTCCACAGCATCCATCACAGTGTCAGCATCTCTGCAGGAAGACAGAATCACATCCAACAAATGGTTAATTACAAATCTTTTCCAAATTCTTACCATATCCTACTTTAGACATGCAATGCACTCTCTTCCAAGCAAGTTCAACAGCAGCTACTATAGAGATTCAACATATATTCTTCGGCCCAAAGGACAACCTCGATGAAAATAGAACAGAATGATAAGAGCTAACAGAGCTCGTAGGAACAGTGCAAAAGCTACTGCTAACTAACTAGTTTATTTTCTTCAAATATTTGAAGAGCGAGCTATCTAATCCAACAAAATAGCCAAAATACTGAAAGGAGAAATTATAAACTAGGACTATGACTCCTTTGCTACCAGAACTATCCAATCATCTTGGATAGCAGTTCAACAACAGTGAAATATCAATATCCATCAATATAGCCATAGAAATTTATACCATTCAGCTTTTGCAATGAAAAACTCTATTTTAAAGAGGAAAGAAAAGAAAAACTAATCAAGAGATCTCACCCTTCATACTCAGAACCAATATCTGGTAACTTGTCTCGACTGATTTGAGCAAGGTAACTCCTTAAGAAAAGTCCACGTATGGGATGTTGAACTCCACGACACATTTCCACAAGGTCTTTAAGAACTTCCTTAGCAGGAGCCTCCTTAGATTTGATATAGACAGATCCTACCGTACATAGTAGATACCTGGTTGATTACCAACTATAACTTCTTTAGTTATGAAGGATAAACTGACTTTCCTGAACTAAAGATGTGTCAAATTTTCTTTTTCATTTTCTTCGTATATGAACTAGAGACTAATTAAGCGAAAGGTACTACAATTCTGTAAAAACTATAGCCCAAAAGAATGACAATGCATACCTTTAATTGTTTGAAATTTGGAAATTATAAAAAAAAGAAACAATAATATAGAAATCCGCTAATAAATTTGTTGAAGAAAAATTATTTAAATTACTTACAATCTAGGCAAAATATTGCCGGCATGTTGAACAAGCTCGTATAGATCAATCACAGATACACCGTGCTTGCTGTCTTCTTTGAAGAACATCTCTAGTTTCCTCAGTTCATCAAAAGCTCGCATATCTAAATTCAAATCATAAATACATAAGAATTCAATCATAAATCTGAAAGTTGAAACACAATCGACTCGATCAATGAAAAGGAAAAAAAATTACAGAGTTCGTAATATTTGTGAGGAGAGAGTTTGGATGTCCGGAGCTCCGATAGCATCTGAGCGGAGTACTTGAGAGCTTCTCTAAGATTATTGGAGTCCTGAGAAAAAAATAGATCGAATTTAGGGATAATGAAAGAGGAATTGGAGATCTTGATCCGCTCAAATTCAGGTTAAAGAGAGGGAGTTTTTGGGGTTACCAAAGCTTGATGCATGTAAAAAGCATTGTGTTGAATACCGGCGATCCCTTCTGCCAGCCACTTCTCTTCGTCATCGATTCCGTTCAGCATCGTTCTCTTTCTTTCTTCTGCAGCGGACCAGAGCTTGAACAACGTTTGAAAAAAAATGGGGTGATTTCTCCTTTTACCCAAAAAAGGAGTACTTCTCCCGAATCAAAGTGACCCGTTAAAGTCCTAACGAGAAGAGATTAAAGAGAACAAACAAAGATGCCCGGCTACAGGGCGTATTCGAGTCCAAAACTCAATTGGTCTAATACTTGAACCCAAAATTACCTCTAATCGCAAGCCCTAGTTCGTAACCGACTTAGGGCAGTTAGCCCTAATCTCTTTTTTTCCCCAAAAGGTTAGCCTTTGAAAAAAAAACAAAACAATTTGTGGGTAGCCTTGCGTTTGTGGGATAATCTATAGAGAGGTGGTAAGCCCAATAGAACAATAAATCAAGATCCATTAAAAATGGGCTTTCCAAAGACTACTCTGCCCTCTGACTCTGGTTACTGTCATTGTCAATGGCATTATGTTAAATTAATTTTTGAATTAAGATTGTGAATAAAATATTTATCACAGCAATGATCCACTGTTTTAAAATTCATGAATAAAAATAATATAAATTATTCCTGCATGGCTTAATATGTACTACATACATAAGTTAAATTCTGACATATTTAAAAGAATTAATTATAGTTATCTCTATTATGGTAAATCTAGAAACAATCTTCAAGTGAAACATAGAACCAAGTGATTACATAAAATAATCTTCAAGTTTATTAAAAATTTTAAATAAAAATTTATGTATTAATCATTGAACCAAATATTAAAATGCATGATAATACAAAATTAAGGAACAAGCAAGAATTACGGGATTAGATTGAGAAATCAAAACTATATCTCTTTCTTCCAATGGTAAAATTAATTCATAACAAAGCAGAAACTATTTCTAGAATACATGAAATAATATTTCACCAACTTGGTGATTGAAGCTGCTGAGGCGTGACGCAATAACTAATTCAGGTCAAAGTAGAGGGCTTGTTGACTTCCAATTACATATAAAAAAAAAAATTATATGTTTGATTTTTGTGGCAATATTATTATTATATTATTACTGATGGCGGTAATTATTTTATGTTAAAAAAATAATATATAAAAATCATTAAATTTGATATAAATAAATTTATTTAAATTAATTAAATATATATTAAAAAAATAAAAATTCTTTTTTTCTGAATAAAAAAAAAGGTTGACGAAGTTAGATTAAAAAAACATTAAGGTCAAAAATTCAAATTAAGACAAATACGTATCGTGCCATATGCCCGAATTCTTCGCTTTTTACGATTGTCTATAGGCACTGTTTAAGGATCTTTAAAATACTATTTAAAGAAAAAATTTTGCATTTTATAAATTATTTTTACTAAAATTAAGAGAAAATAATGTGTTAGCTACAGTTTTATTTTCTTAAATATAATCTTAACTGGTGCCTAGTGGATGAAATAACAATTTTGATCACTAGGCATCAGTTAACATTTTCCTTTTTTTTTATTTTTCTTTTATGATTAGATATTATCCCTGTTTCAACTCACTTGATCACTGTTTCTTTGTCTCCTTAATGAAATAAGGAAATTTCTGAGAAATTTCTTTGGGAAATTTCTTGGATTATATAAAATTTCATGCAAGAAGAAAATCTCAGTCAATAATAAGAAGATAGATTTTTCTTCTTCTTCTTTTTTTTTTTGTTTAGAGAGAATTGAAGCAAAGTGGTCTGGTTAAAGTGACTACAATGGTGATTAAGAAGGAAATTGCAGCAAGCAGGCAGGTTGTTTATCATGGTGAGCTTTTAAAATCAGCAATGTTAGGAAAGGATTTAGTCTCAATCAATGTGTTCTCAGACTCAGGTATTGTCAACTTTTTCCCATAATTTTGAACACTTCTTTGATTTGTCCAAGAAACTGTATGAATTATTCATGCTATTCTGTTTTTCTAATTGATCATGTCGTTTTAGACCTTGATTTGTTAAGAGCCTGGATGACTAAAGATCGCAGGGACTTATCCATGGGGAAATGGGTAATGCCGTATGCCATTGTCATAAGTTTTTCATTCTAACATTGGTTTTTTTTTTTTTTTTTTGGAGAAATAAATTCATTAATTGTTCTGATAATTGAATTTCAGGGTAATCTTAACAGTCCAATTTCACAAACAAGTTCAACCCGAAAGATTCTAAAGAAGATAGCCCAGCGTTTTGCAGCCATGGCTGTATTTATGGGAAGAGACACAGAGGAGGCTCTCTGGTAAGTTGACTTATTTTTTATGATAAGCATATGGAATCCTAGAGTTCTTTCCTCTGATAAAGCACAGAAATGATTTGCAGGAGTTGGATATCATATGCCAGATGCAGTGTAAATCAATCTCTATCAATTAGTTATTTTCTGGCTATCGACAAGGGAATCCTCCTGGAAATACTTCGGGATCATCATTTAGAAGGTTTGAGCCAAATTCATATGTTAAAAACTTAAAACCATTTGAATTGTTAAGAGTAGATTTCTGATTTCTATCATTTTTGTAGGTTCAAATTTGAGACCTAAGTTGTATCTCAAAAAAAATAGTGCTAGATTGAGACATGCAGATCAGGAACCAGAGTCTGAAAAAGCTGAATCTCCTGCATTTCGGGCTGCCTCAGATGTAGCAAGGGATTATATAGAAGGCCCAGAAGAGGGCAATTCTAATCCTAATCATAACCACAAGGCTGTTCTCTTGAATTCAATATCTGTAATCCGAAGAGAACTGCCAGAACCACATCTTGGCTGGCCTTTGCTTCGGAGAAAATCTTCTCCAAATCAAGAGTTTAAGAAACCTGAACCTAGAGATATATCCGTTGTAGAATGGGTAATGAGCCTGCCTAATCGAGGTACCACAGTCGTCAACCAGATTGCTTTGCTTTCAAATCAAACCAGCATCAACTCCGGAACAAATACTAATGATTCTACTAACAACGATCGTAAGACTGAAGAAGCAATTCACATCTCTGAAGAGGAATCAGTAATAAATGACAATAGAAATTTTGAGCTTGAAAATAAGGCAGAAGTTTCAGTTTCTTTGAACACAAAATATCTGGAATCATATTCAAAGCCAGGTTGGCCTCTTCGTCTTGTAGCTTCCACTACTTCAGATTCGTTTTCAGAATATGAAGCCAAAAAAAAGCCAAAGGCTGAGAGGGAAATGAACGCACCTATTCAATCAACAATCGAACTTCCACCTTCCAAAATTGCATTAGTATCCACCGAAATGGAAAATCCTGTCCAAATTGAAAATTGTTTACCAACACTAAGAAACATGCCGACCGACTTGGATCTTCGTTGCAAAAAGTTCAGTCTCAGGGAGCTTAAGCAAGCAACTTCTGGATTCTGTCCAGGTTATCTTTCAAGTCAAGCTTCTTTTAAAATTCAATATGGTTTTAAAGGCTTATAGAAACATAGCTTTTGATCTTATTTTTTAAGTCTTTTTCTCGTATACATTTGATTCTCTTACAGAAAACTTGATTGGAGAGGGAGGATGCAGCAAAGTATACAAAGGGTGTCTTCCCGGTGGCAAGCAGGTGGCTGTTAAAATTCTAAAATCATACAAAGAAGCTTGGAGTGACTTCTCCTTGGAAACTGATATTGTTTCTTCAATGAAACACAAGCATATCACGCATCTAAAGGGAGTTTGTGTTGAAGATGACCATCTCATCTCAGTCTATGACTTCTTTTCCAGAGGAAGTTTAAAGGAAATTCTGCATGGTAATCTTCCATACTTGCAAGGCTTGCTTGTGTTACCTAACATAAAGATGCAGAGAAGTTACAGGTTTCACTATATTTTATTTCCAAAACAGGTCAAAGCAGGAAATCCGTGTTGCCGTGGGAGGTCAGGTTTAAAATTGCCACGGCAATTGCCGAGGCTCTAAATTACCTGCACAATGAATGCTCTCCACCCATTATACACAGAGATGTAAAGTCTTCCAACATTCTTCTCTCTGATGATTTTCAGCCGCAGGTACCTTTTTTCCTTCTTAATTCTTCTTTTGCTACTTGCCATAACTTATTGACCATGAATATGATCTAGAAGAGCAGTTTAGTTAGATGAGTTTCTAACCACATGGCTTCTTAAAAATTGAACTATAAAAGCTTTTTCCACTTTACCCTTGCAGTTATCTGATTTTGGGCTTGCTATCCGGGGGCCAACGGATTCAACTTACATGATTGCGAGCAATGTGGTAGGAACTTTTGGGTATATAGCTCCTGAGTATTTAATGGAAGGAAGGGTCAGTGACAAGATTGATGTATACTCTTTTGGCGTTGTGCTTCTAGAATTACTATCAGGGAAGAGGCCAATTTGTTCAAAGGCTCTGGAAGGACAAGTGAGCTTGATCCAGTGGGTAAGAGTTTCTGCTTTTACACACTTTCACTAGTACATGACCTGAGAAACTTGAGAGAGATGTGTCCATTGCTGGTTAAATAACCAAATTATGATCCAACACAGGCTAGGGCATTATTAGAAAGAAGGAATCTCCGAGGATTAGTGGATCCAGCATTACATGGAGATTTTGATGTTGCTCAAATGCAGAGAATGGTTCTCGCTGCCTCCCTCTGCCTCAATCAGTTGGATGGATGCCGTCCAAAAATGAGCCAGGTAGATTCTTGCCTTCTGTATCTAAGCCTTCTCAATCTTGGGGAATAGGAAAACCACTCAGCTGTTTTTCAAGCTGATAAGAACGGAGTTTAGTTCCAGGAACCAGGAAACTCAGTGGACTTATTTTCAATCCTGTCATATTACCTTTCTAAGAGTTACTGATTCTCATTGTCTCCCATCCAGGTACTAGAAATATTGCGAGGAGAGAGGGAACCAAGAGAGTGGTATAATTTCCTTGCTGCTGATTTCAAAGTGCGAAACAACCGAGATGATAGACTTTCTCCAGCACCTGTTCACAAACAATATACCCATCTTTCAGTTTCATTTACAGATAATGATTCAACATCGGTAGGCAGCAATTATACAGCATCAAGATGTAGAGCTGAGAAAGAGCGTCTACTAATGCTGAAGAACTACCTTAGGAAAGAGCGGGGCTGATGACAATCACTTTCATCGTTCCATAGCATTTTGATTGCATATTCATTGAACCAAAGCAATTTAAGCAAGCTTGAAAATGTAAATCAACTTGATTTCTTGATGTAAATAGCTGTTATGATAGTATTTTTGACGATTTTGGAGTTGAAAAAAAGTGCTGCTATGCAACAAGAAAATGAAATTGTACATATAGAATTTAAAATGTCAGACAAGAAATTGTTTTTGGGTGACATTCTCTTGTTTCTATTAGAAAAATTCTCAAACCGTACAAAATTGGGCAATGTAGCCCTATACCGCCTTGCACTACTACTAGTGTACAATTCAGACAACTAATTAAAAGAATCAGAGCCGCTCTTCGTACGGTAGATAAAAAATAGCCCTCCTTGAAGAGCGATGCTCAGATTCTTGAAAGCCAATCGATTCAAAATGGAACCGTATAAGGCAATGCACAAATCTCAGCCTCCGGAAGAAAATGAGCACGTGGACATGAAGATGCACTAGCACGACATGTAACATTATTGTCAACTTTAGATCTTTTCGCCGTAGGTTTTCCTTGATGATTTGCCATAAAAAGCCAGTCATCATCATTATCATCAACAGCATTCTGCTCAACTTGGAAAGGAAGTGGCATCCAATCCTCAATCAGAGTTGTATACAGCAATGATGCCTTCTGCATCTCATTCTCATATGCAGATATTACAGAAGAAGAGGGAATTTGCTTTCCTCTTTCATCGTTAGGCCATAGTTTCTGTTCAGGCACAGGAATAATGGTATTTGCCTTTTTACTCCCAGGGTAACGTTGCTCTTGAGCTTCTGGCTGGGTAGAAGAATCCGACCTTCCAGAGGTAGAGCAGACCGGTTCTTTGCTAAGAGTTGCATCAGGTTCTCGAGGCTTTTTCAAGGTAAACCGAATTTTTATGGTGTTCCCTATTCATTGCAGAATACAAAAATCAATATCCCAATCTCAATATATACCATACATTCCGATATAAACTAGATCAGTAAGCAAATCTAGCCCATCTAAAAAACGACGAACAAACAGAAAACTCACCATCTACCCTGCATTGACTAGAGGACAGGGTTTGGTTTTCCCTTTTCCTCTTGTTGCTGTTTTGGGAGCCATCAGATATGTAGCAAACAGGTGCTTCATGTTCCTCAGTAAGATCACTGTTCTCCAATTGCTCATCTTTACATCCACTTAGAACATCATCAAGCTTCTTAAATTTCTTCGTTAGACCTCGGGTTTTCTCCTTTTCTTTCCCTACCTTCTTTTTCTCCTTCTCCCTCTTCCTATGTATTTTCTGTTCTGTTTTTGGCAGAACCTTTTCTTTCTCGAGCTTTATTGCACACGAGAATAAGAAACTTAGAAGGGCGGACAAAGGAAGACCCAAAGCATCATGAATTTTACCATAAAAATGAAGCTTCGTATAATTTCACATTGGCATAGGGTTATATCTAGATCAATCAGATATTGAATTCATACACCCTGGATAAACAGGGTAACATGTCCAAAATCATAAATTTCCACTCCTCTAATCAAAATCAATTATCCACCTTTTCTATCATTTATTTAACGAAATCAAAACCCAATACCCAATCTTTAAAAAGGAACCCGAAAGTTCTTTTTTTTTTTTTTTAAAAAAAAAAAGAAAATCCCAAAGCAAAAGAGTTTCAAAAATTAATTTTAAATAATTACCAGGCTCATTGAACAAATCGTCTTATTCACAATTTCAAAGCTACAAAGTAACAACAGCTTTGCGATTCCTTTTATATACCTTTATCCAATTACAAAAATTACAAATACAAATCATAATCACCTATCACAAACGCATGCAGTTGAGCATCAAAAGTGAAAACCAAATACTTTTGCTCAACGAACCTTAATCGATTCGTCCAATCCCTGTCTTAAATACCCAGGAGGCGGGTACGGAAAGCACCGTGACATTATCGGCTTTTTCTTTTTGAAATCCCAAAGAACTTCCTCAAGAAACTATGAATCAGTAACCCAAGATTGTTCAATATCCGTCAAGCTTAACGATCTTAAAACTCTTGAGATTCTCTCCAAGACAGACAACGCGTGATCAAGAGCGCAGCGGCTAGGGTTTACCCAGATCTCTCATGCCATAGACACGGACTTGGGGTATATATAGAGTGAGAGAATTGGGGATCCACCGACTTACCTATGTCGGCTCTTCGAAGTTTCCTTTTTTCCGATACTGCCCTTCACGTGTTGAGAAATTATATTGTTCTCTTTGTCCCTTTTTGGTAACTTCGCTTTAGTATTACGTGTGCAATTTCGATTTGACTTTTCTTTTTTAATCTAGGTGTGAAAGTGAGGTCGTTTTGATTCGTGGAATCGTGGACGTAGCAAATGCCACGTAGACGAAGTGTAAACCCTAAACCCTAGTGCTTTTGCCAAGAACAGGGGAAACGAAATCAGAGACGTTCTGGCAACCAGAGACAAACAGTGATCGACAGCGCAACTTGGATTTGCAATCATGAGAAGGGTCAATGGACTCGCTACCCTTGACAGAGCCTTATCCTGCGGCGGCGCCATTCAGCAGCGGCTGGCTCAAGCGGCGTTGATGAGTACATCCTCATCTCCATCGTCAAATTCTCACATTTCTTTGCAGAAACTCGCCAATCGATTGGGGCTGTCGCGTCCCTCCCTCGGGCGCCGTGTTGCTGGGAACATGTTGTTTGCTATGGCAGCATCATCTCTGGCTCAAGACGCCCATGCTAAGGAGTTGCCTCGCTCTGAGAAGTTTCTCCCCAACGAAGTCGTTCTGTACCAGTACGAAGCTTGCCCTTTTTGTAACAAGGTCAAAGGTAAATAAATTTACTCCCAATTGTAATAAATACTACATTAAGATTGATATATCCACGCTTTCCTGGATTAATATGTTTTTCCTTGAATTCTTATAGAAATGAGTTTCTTTTGATGAATATTGAATGAGGAATGGTTGTGAAAACAAATTATTTTAGTGGAATTGTTGAGAAAAATGAGTGCTTGACAGCTTGAGTTTAACTTCCGGTTTTCTTTTCATTTACCCTGCTTTTTTTTCTGATTATTAAAGCTGTGTTTGGTTGATGATTGAAAAGGTTATAAGGCAGTTGACATAGTGATTGGTTGGTCTCAAGTCTTTGAAAGTAAAACATTGCAAAACATATGATGGTAACTTGTTTAGCAATAAATGAACTGCATAATGTTCTTGCAATTCATTGGAATCTGTAATTTGCTTTGTTTAGTTTTACTAGGTATTGATTTTAAACATGATTATTCATTTTTGTAAGCTGTATTGTTTTACCATAAACTCATTCTCAGATTAAACGAATTCAATTTTCGTTTGATCCCCATCGTGCTATTAACTGCCCTGACCCTCCCTCTTCTTTCTTTCCTTCCCAACCCCCATTTCTTTGAAATATTTTCCCTTCATTGTTTGATTTATATATTTCATTTGGTTGACTTCTTGTTCTTATTGTAGCATTTTTAGATTATAATAACATTCCATATAAAGCTGTGGAAGTCAACCCCATCAGCAAAAAGGAGATCAAGTGGTCTGATTACAAGAAGGTGCCGATACTGAAAGTTGATGGTGAACAGATGGTTGATTCTTCAGGTTCTTTGCCCTTTCTCAATCTTTTGTTAACTATCTTCCGATGGTTACATATATTTTGTCATTATAAGTTAACATTAGCATACTTTGTTTCTGTTCCAGATATAATTGATAAGCTTTTTCATAGGATCAACCCAGATATCTATTTACCTGATGCTGATGAAGAGAGGAAATGGCGTGAGTATGTTCTTGTACCTCTCTTATTCTTTATCATTTTAGATAAATTAGATTACAACAGTTGCCACTGTTTTATTTAGAAGACTTGGATGAAGATTGCCAATTACTTGTGGGAGCAAAATTATTCTATCTCCTATTTTGAAAATTTTCAATATCATGGTTGATTTATCACCAATATGGAGTTGGGATTTCACTATAATTGATGGTGGAACTACAATGATATAGGTGGGTGGATAATCACTTGGTGCATGTCTTATCACCAAACATATATCGGACTACTTCTGAGGCACTTGAATCATTTGACTATATCACCACTCATGGTAAGATAAATTTTCTCTCTGCATTCAATGATTTATTTATATTTACTTGATATTGGTGGAAGATATATTATACATGGGATTTGTTGTTACCATTGTTGCTTGTAGTGTTATTTTAATTTTTTTGCAGATTGGCTGAGAATAAGGATTGAATATGCATCTGACTTCATTAGAGTCTGTTGATTAACTATGTGCAGTGGATGGGATAACGTTATATTTATCACCATTTTGGTGATATTAACTCTAGGTTTATAATTCACTATGAAATAAGTCAGCATGTTGTCAATTCATGGTTAGTGTTGTGATTGATGTGCTATGCTTTGCTTTGGGCTTTAGGTTTTAGTATTAGAGCCCTCATTTAATAAAGTTATTGTTTTTACACTTTAAAAAAAAAAAAATTCTTGTCGCTGTCAGTCTGCTGGATTTCTCTTTTTCTAAAGCATTTTTTACTAGACCATCAATGACTTATATAACCTTTACCGATAATGATGATGATTTCTTTAATTATTCTTTAGTTGATGACTTGTATTATTATTTGTTTAAACTTGAGGAGACTTAAAATTCTTTGCTTGTCATGCTTTAAAGCTTCTAATATTCTGAGACAAAGCAAGAAAATCTGCCAGTCATCTTTAGTTTATGATATTTTATGATAAATGTAGGCAACTTCAGCTTCACTGAGAGGTTATTAGCGAAGTATGCTGGAGCAGCAGCCATGTATTTTGTCTCAAAGAAACTGAAGAAGAAGTACAACATTACTGATGAGCGAGCAGCCTTGTATGAAGCTGCTGAAACGTGGGTGGATGCTTTGAAGGGCCGGCATTATCTTGGTCTGTTTAGTTTACAATTATAAATGATGTTGTGTTATTGACAAAACACAAGATATGTACTATTTTCAAACCATTAACTAATCTGTGTAATCCCTATTGCCAGGTGGTTCAAAACCCAATTTAGCTGACCTTGCTGTTTTTGGTGTTCTGAGGCCAATCCGATATCTAAAGTCTGGTAAAGATATGGTGGAGCATACACGCATTGGTGAATGGTACACTCGGATGGAAAATGCTGTGGGAGAGTCTGCTAGAATTAAGGAGTGAGAGACAAATTGTCCGCTGGAGTAGAACTTCAAGCCTGGTCAACCTGAATTTGTGAGCATAGAGAATTTACAAATAATAATGCTGGAAGAGACTTTCCACTGATAGGCAAGAGTAGGAGCCGACATGTGATAACTTCTATCTTATTAAAATTGGATGCTGTATGGATAATTTTACAGTTCTCATAAACTGCTCTTACTGAAAACCAGAATTTCCTATCGTAGTTGTGCATATTAGTAGCTTTTTTTTTTGCTCTTTGAACGATTTGTGATTTGACTTTGGAGCTGCTCACTTGCTTGCAGGTATTGCACTAGCTGTTTGGTCAGTGCACTACTCTATGTTCTTTAGGTGCTACATTATTTCAATTTGTCGTCTGCGCCTTTTCTAACATTCTCTACTGTAGTTTTACGCTTTCGAATTCCTTCTCAACTCTTGCATTCTCTCTTCTGACGCACGTGTCGGCAGTTTTGTTATCATTCTCTTTGAACCAGTGTGAATTCCTGATTTGAAATGGCATGTCAAACACAAGTTACAGTACAGACCGTAGATGCTTTAGATTGTACGATGTTAAAGTTTTAACTTAGCACAAGCCAACTCTTTGTTATTAGTTGTGCAGTTAATTGGCTTTTTGGTGGTGAAGCAAAGGAGCTACCTGTAGTTCTTTCTTCAAAAAGACTGAATCCTTTGTTACTACGTGGTTACAATTTGCTTATTCACGTTTTGACTCGATGCTTTCTGGTGTTGAAGCCCTCAACCAAATGCGAAGATTTAACATATTTGGTAACAACTCTGCTTTATAAAAACAATAGTGACCATATGAGACCGGAATCGTATATGTAATTCTTACTACTAACAAATACATGATCGAGGATAGATGGTAATGGTACAGTAACCGTTGGACCAGTTGCCCTCTTCATGAGCCTGAAGCAGTCACATTTGATCAGAGAGTATCTTAATTGCCATTTGCGTCAAATACTATGGTATTACCATGCCAAAGTAGCACTTAACTAGTTAACCAACCTTCTTATGGGCTTTTGTTTTTCTAGATGCTTTGCGGTCCCCCGCTGTCCCCTTTAAAGCTACACGCTCATTCCGCTATTGCAGTTATGAATCTGATCCCCGTCCTCCCAATTCCAACAACACCCTACCAACCTTTCGGGCTAGATGAAGAAAGTAGAGTACATAAAGAGGTAAAACATGTTTCTCTTGCGGTTAAAATGCTGTATCGGATTGTCAGTAAATTATGACTTAACTGTCTTTTTCTTTTTGCTCATTAACTGGCCTCAATCACATCAAAAAAGTCCTCTGAATGGTTATCAGGGCAGTCGATTGTGGGTTCCATCCATTTTGTGAATGACCGAATACGGCTGGAGGGCCCCTAGTGTCACAGCCCGAATGTGGTGGCAATGGCAGATGCCCTTCAACAGGAAGCTCCTTGCGCGTATTTATTGGAAGTTGACAAATCCTAAATAGGCGTTAAAAAAAGTCTAGGCAACCAACTCTTCCTGGATCATGATGCCCCGAGCAGGCTCGCAACTGGTTTTACATTACTATAGATGAGGTGATGTTTCTGGCCCGTATTCACACTGGCCCAAACCACCAACCTCGACCAGACTGGCCCATGAATCCTAGCACTCGAAGATGGCCGCATGGCAGCAAGAGTGAAAAGTGAATATCAGAACTATTCGTAGTCCAAGTGCATTTTGCAATACGTAAATGTCAGATAAATTTTAAATTTCACATCGAATATAATAAGAGAGTTATTAAAATATATAAGAGTTCACATAATTTTTTTTTTGTGAGATATCTTTTGTAAGATAAAATAGTAAATTTAAGGGATTAAAACAAATAATACTTCACAAGAGTGTGAATCGTGACAGGTAGACTGATCTGAAACGTCGAATAAGTGGATATCCGAGTCTCGAAATCGCACGAGTTTGGAGCTTAAGTCTTGACCCATGACAGTTGGTATCAGAGCTAACCTTAAACCGTTCGATCAACGTCAAGCATCTCGAAGGAGGTAGACATGATTATCAGCTTCCGTGACGAGGGCGTTACGAGGTTAGATAAAAAAGAAAGTCAGAGAGATCAGATCGGACAATATCTCACAAAAGTATGAACCGTGACAAAAAAATTGATTTAAGACGTCGAAAAAATAAATATCCGAATCTTAGGTTAGATGGAAGAGAAAGTCAGAGAGATCAGAACGGATAATACCTCACAAGTGTATGAACCATGACAAAAAAATTGATCTAAGACGTCGAAAAAATGAATATCCAAATCTTCAAATCACACGAATTTAAAACTTAAATCTCAACTCATGACACAAAACTTTACATGAAAGTTTTGTCGTTTCGAACCTACCACATAAATACAAAGATTGGGAAATTTAGTAACAGTGATAGAAGAACAAGAAATGGTGGTGGTTTTTACTTTTTACTAATAAGATTTTTAATTTCTATATTTGATAATTTGAAAACAGATATTCAGAATTAATAAAAATGCTATTATTCAGCCTTTTCCAATGACCAAACTGACAATTTCTCCGATTTGTGATTCCTCCCCTCTATAACGTCTGACTCATTCATGTCCCGATTGAGTGAATATCTCTTTCTCTCTCTCTCTCTCTTTTTGAAATCTCTGACCCGGTGGTTCTGTGACTTGCTGTCACAAAATCAGCATGTGTACGTCGTCGTTTACCGCCACCTTTATATCTCTCTCATAAATGCCTTTTTGTGTTTCGAAGCCCTTTGGGATTTGAAAAAAAGGACAGAGATAGAGAGAGATAGAGAGAGAGAGAGAGAGAGAGAGAGAGAGAAAGGGCCCTAAGCATTCTCTAACTCTCTTTGTCCCGCTCTCCAATCCTATCCTTTATTTTCCTTATTTAGTTCCTTAAATACGTCAGTTCAAACAAATAATGTCCATAAAATAAAAAAATTTTAATTTAAAATATTTCAAGATTTTGTCGGTTTTCCCCACTCTACTTATAACCATCCACGGGTTTCTTTCATGGTGGTCAATTTCAAACCAAAGCAAGGCAAAGGTTATGACTATTAAGAAAAAGTCATGCAGCTCTTTTGATATAAGGAGAGCCTCAACATTGTAGTTTTGAACCTACCCAATTTTCGTATCCCTTCTGGTTTTCGTATTAATAGTCTTTCTATAAAGTATGTGAATCTACAAAGTGCCAAGGGGACGTTTTTCAGTACCTGGCGATAGTTATTATGGCTGTTCAAGCACAGTTTTATCCTGAAAATATGGGTTTACCTTTGCCCATGTGTGGCCTTCAGGATTGGATGGTAAACACTGCACCTGCAGTTCCTTCGTTTGAAGCTGATTTTTTTTTCAGTCTTCAAGATCCTTCTATGCAGACGGTTCCTTTTCATGTTCAACAAAACGCTCAGAACTTGGCTTCTGCTGCAGCTTCTTCTTCTTCAACGTGTGATAGTTTTCTACCCATGTCACTTTCTCAATCTTTAGATGCTCAACTGGAGATGCAAAGGCAGGAACTTGATTGCATTCTTCAATTGCAGGTAAGAGTTTCAATTTTTTTCAGCAGAAATTGACCACTTTTGTTGAGTTTTCTTGTGTAAAGGGTCATCTTTGATTTTATCATTATTGATTTTGAGTAGTATCAACTATTTGGTCCCGGTTATTGGTTTTACTTTAAATTTTCTTTTTCCTGTTCTATTTCTGGGCGGGGGAAAAACAGAATGAGAGGCTAAGATCTGCTTTGCTAGAGCAAAGGAAGCGACAACTGGCCATCCTGCTAAAGGGTATGGAAACGAAGGCCTTGTATTCGATGGAACGAAAAGAAGAAGACTTGGCACGAGCAACAAAGAAAACAATGGAGCTTGAAGCCTGCCTAAGAAAAGCAGAAATGGAGGTCGATGCATGGCGAAGACTAGCAAAAGCAAATGAAGTAATGGTTATAGATCTAAACAACACATTGGAACAGGTCAGAGAAAGCCTAGTCTGGGTCAGCAATACAGCCGAAGATGCAGAATCCCTTTTTTGTGGTTCGTGTGACACAGAACAAGGAGAAGTAAAAGAAGAGAGCAGCAACAAAAAGATGGCTTGTAAACACTGCAACTCTAGGAACTCGTGCGTTCTCTTTCTACCTTGCAGACACCTTTGCTCGTGCAAGTCTTGTGAAGCTTTTCTTGATGCTTGTCCTGTCTGTGAATCTGTAAAGGAGGCCAGCATGAAGGTTTTTTGGGTCTAACAGGAAAGGCACAAAGCAAAGAAAGAAAAAGAAAAAGAAGTGCTCAGGGAAATTATTTTTCCTGATTTAGCTTGCACCGAAAAATACAAAATATTGTTGTAAGCTTTTAGATTTTTCTTTAATGAGGGATGAGCGATCGGTTCTTTTTGTTCACGGGAAATGCAGGCTCGCTTCAGCGGTAACAGTGTACTATTTTTGTTTAACTGGCGGAAAATATTTGATAGCCAAGTTTGACATTTATCAAAGGTGGAACTTTCCACTGCCATTAACTCTTTTTTTGCTTTATCCAATGAATTTATCCATGGAAATGACACATGCTGTAAAAAAGTGTATCGAATAATCCGGATAGAACAACTTTGCCTGCGTCCTGCTTCATGGATGGTGGACTTTAACAAAGAAGCAGAGTTATTACAAAACCCCAATATCGGAAAAAAAAATCAAAGAAAGTTGAAAGAAGCTCATTTTCCACCCCATGATTTCTGGTTTTAATAATTTTTTTTAGTCTTTCTATTAGTTATTGCGTCTTGTTTGGGAAAGTTGAATCAAAATCTGCAAAAAACTATCAGCTTGTTTCCCTGCTACCAATTCCATCCTGGTGGCAGAGAATGGGACCGGAATCACGATGGTTCCAAAGTCTTTTGAGTGTGTTCCGGGCCCCACCAGGGGTGAAGCCAAGAGTGATAGAGTGGGCCCTACAATGTGTTAACATCAGAGAACCGTTTCCAAGGGAGGCAGCTGGACCTGCTTTTGTACGCATGGAGGTATATGAGAACGACTAGGAGCCTGAGATCAACTTTCCTATGACGTGTGCAACCCACTGGGCTTTTGACGAGATCTTGCGGCCTGATGTTGGGAAACAGCTTCCGCTTTTGGATCTCTACCATTGGACTTCGGCCTTTGGTCGGTTGACATGGTGGACTGCCAGTTATCTAGGCCGGAGATTGCTACACAATGGCCCAACTTATCTCCGCGCTTCTTGAAAAGTCTTGGATCCATCAAAGGTTTACCTGGTGGTCTTCAACCCAAATATTGGGCCAGGTTAGAGAGTTGGACCCATGTTAATGTGGTTTTAATCACGGAATTACAAAGAAAGCATCTTTTTAATTGGTCTCAAATAATACATTTAATCATCAACCAGTCATGCAAGATAATTCTTTTATGAATATAAAATTTAATTTAATTAATTCATGTAATTATTTTTAAAATATAATATTTAATAAATTTAAATTTAAATTTAAATATTTATAATTTTTTTATTTATCTTTATATTATTGACATACAATTAATTGATCTCTAAACTTAAACCTCCCAACTTGTAAGAATGGCTGGATCATGGGACATGCGATCCCTATCAGATCTATTGTAGCGTGTGGCATATATTTATGCATTGATAAATTTTGAGTTAGGTTTATCAAGGTATTATGTGTTAATCTAAATTTGGATTTTAATAAATGCACTATATATTCAAATACTAAAATTATATTATACTTTAAAATTTAATTTTGAAATAATGTTTGAGTTCAACTTAATTTTAATTTAGAAATCATCAATAAAAATGCCTCATTTTTATTTAATAATTATCAAAAAATTAATAAAAGCAATGCTTCCATGTTCAAGGGTAAGAGTTTCTTTCTTATTTTTTTCCAAAAATTATGAAAATATTAATATTAGATAAACTTCCACTCAGCCAATTAAACATGTAAAATTATTAGAATAACAACCGCTGTCAGTGTCTTTTGACTGAAAGTGACAAGGACGTGGAAGTAAATTTATGATGGAAACGTTGCGTAGAGAATCATAAAGCAGCCCTGATAATTGAGCCTTAGAAGCGTCATCAGCCCAAACGGCCCACAATGTCGACATCTACCATACAAGAATCGAATCTTATCATCCAACGGCCAGCTAGCTGTTCTTACACTTAACCGGCATTCACACATTATGATCGTGACACGTGTCCATATACCTGAATCTCAAACTATTTAAATGCACAGTAAGTTTTCCTCAGCCGTGTTTATGCCTTGCACCAAATAGAAAAATGGAATCAAAGTAGAAAAAATTAAATTAAAAAAAAAAAAGAGAAAGAACCGTAGCCAAATTAGCCATAGCAAATTCTCTCCAAGCAAACAGAGAAGAATTTTCATCGATCAGCGATGCAACAAGGAGATTTCAGCTCCTATTATCAATTCCCTCACCTTTCAAACCCTAACCCTAACCCTCACCCTATCCCGAATCCAACACCTACCGAGTTTCACCAACCGCCTTACGCATCGGCACCACCGGACACCTCCGGTTACACCTCTACTGATTACTCCGTCTATCCCCCAAACTACCCACCCTATTCCCAAAATCCTGATCCTGTCCCTCCCACTGCTCCTTCTTACGCTCCGCCACCGTCAGCCGCAACTACTCCACCGGCTTCGACACTAACATCACAATCCTCTTTCAATCAACAACCCATAACGGCTCCGCCAGTCGCGGCTGCTCCTTCTTTCCCGCCTTATGATTCACATGTTCCCTATCAGCCACCGACTTCCCAGTCACCTTATTACCAGTCGTATGATCCGCATCAGACGGCTCCTAGCTATGGTACTCCTCCGCCAAACCCTGACCCTACCCCAAATCCGCCTTACTATTCAGCCCCATATAGCCAAGTAGGATCATCAGTATCCTCTGTACCTCCTGCATATGACAACCCCTACGATAATTCGATGAAATTCGATCACAGCGGTGGTAATTATTTCGACGAGAAATTCGGAGGAGGCTATAACCGTAGCCGATACGATTTAGGATCCGATCTCTATGGTAAGCGATCGGATAGCTATTCACTATACGGTGATGATGGTGGATACGGTGATGGAGTCTATGCTTATGAAGGAGGAAAGGTAGAGCCTTATGGGGCACGTGGCACAGCTCCAAAATCATCGACTTGGGTTCAATTCGATGATTATGGGCGGTCTATTAATTTCCCTTCTGGGAAGGACTTGTCGGGTGGATCAGGTTCAACTTCTGGTAAGATTGTGAGGGCGGTGCCAAAGGCAGAGACCCAGCAAGATGTAAAGAGTGGTGTCCAGAAGTTTCGGGTTAAGTTGTTGGGTGAAGGTGGAGGACATGGCCCCATGGATATTCTTTGCCAGGTAATTTTTAACTAATATTCGTAGAAATTGGTTTACTTTTGGTTGAAGAGATGAAGTTTCTGGCATCCGAGTTAAACTTTGTTGGTTATATTGTTGAATTATGTGTGCATTTAAGCCGGCTGGTTATAATGTTTTGAAAGTTCTTCAACTTTTACTCTGACAATATTATAGTTCATATTGATATTACTAATGGATAATTATTTTCGTTAGTCCCCTTTTATATTCATCCGGTACTTTGAACTCTTGATATAGCTTAATTTTTCTGGTGTCAGATTGGTTTAGATGGTATTCGGATGCTTGACCCTAGTACCAGTCGAACGTTGAGAATATATCCTCTTGAGAACATCACAAGATGTGAAGTGAGTTGCCTAGTATATATATGTTATTTAACTTTCTTCCTCCCCCCTGTCTTTTTTCTTTGTGATTTTCTTTCCGTTAACGATGTGGGCATTGTAATAAAAAGTATAATTTTTTCCTGATATAGGTGATCGACTCATCTACCTTTGCATTCTGGTCCAAGAGCTCTGTTGACATTGACCCAAGACGGATCAGGCTGCAATCAAACAATTACACTACAAACACCCTTTTGGATATTGTAACAGCTGCAACCGTACAGGTTGGTGTCATATAGTTATAATTTTCTTAATTTCTAAAGAGTTAACTGCAACGGTTACATCATCATCATCATCATCATCATTGTCTACTTTTTCTGTTGGGGGTGGTGGGAGGGGTTCTGGTTGGTATATTTTCAATCCATACCTAAGATGTTTCAATTCTTTAGTTATAAAAAATTTTTTGCTCTGAGTTGTAAATATCATGGAGTTGGTTTTGTGATTCTTAGTGTGGAATCTAGAGTCATACTTTGGATGGATTTGGCATAGTTGCAAATGGACTAAAACTGGCTTAAAAGAGTGAATAAAGACTTGGTAATTAATTAATTTATTTGCAGAAGGCACACACCACGTGCACTAAATTAACTCACCTTAAATCAGGATTCAAGAGGAGGAACATAGTGAATTATAACTTAAGAACAATATGATCTGCAAGAAAAATTTCATTTATCTGAGAACATCCATATTGTAGTTCATTTACAGCGCTCAAAATTTGTAAAGTAATAAGCTTTTTAGTCATGTGAAAGATATGGAAGATTGTCATGTTGTTGCTATCAGGTGCATGTAGCTTTTAGCTATAGGCATATGTGCATTTCATGTGTTTAAGGTTCAAAATGTCTTTCTCAGACGTTTTCTTTTATCTCAATTCTCAAACATGTATGACTTGATTCTTTTCATTTCTTGTTCTTTGATTGGTACATAACACGTGTATGCCTTTGCAAGTGTAAGTTTGATGTGTCTTGATGGCTGTATTCTCTCACCTTCTGATTGCAGATCAAGGAGATGGGTGGGAGAAGTCGAACACCTGAATCTCTAAAGACTACTGAACAACCTGCTGAAAAGAAGAGAGGATTTGCTGATTGGATGAACTTGATAAAGCCTGGCATTGAGGAGAAGGATCATTGGGTAAAAATTAGATTTCTAAGGAAGAATTTTTTTGGTTTTTCTTTTACCTGCAAATTGCAAGTCAAATTAAAGCTTATTTAAAAAGTTCTTAATGGGCTTGTCCGTATATTCTTTTTCTGATTAGGTCCCTGATGAAGCTGTTTCGAAGTGCACTGCATGTGCAACTGATTTTGGGGCTTTTGTGCGAAGAGTATGTCATTCCCTGTCTTTTTGAAGAAGGCTCTTTGCTTGCCATTCTTTCTCATTAAAGTTTAAGGCCCTTTGTCCTTTTTCTTTTCAGCACCACTGCAGGAACTGTGGGGATATTTTCTGTGACAAGTGTACCCATTGTAGAATCGCTCTAACTGCTGATGAGAATGCTCAACCAGTTAGGGTTTGTGACCGATGCATGGTATGCTTATCAATCAGTTTTTCACCACCTTCTTTCATAGCAAAATAGTTTCTGTGGTGGTTTCTCCTGTTTATGGTTTTCACAACTTAGCACAACGGTTAGGTATCGCTGTGTGGTAATGGTCTTGGATGATAAGGACATATCATACAGATTTTATGGGCACTTTGTTGAACATCTAGAGTATATGTATTTCTATAATGTCCTTTAATTTAAAGCCTATCTTTGGGCGACTGACCTATGTCAGAGTCATGAAGGATGACTAGTATCGGTTTTCCTGTGGTTTAACAATGACATATTTTCCCCTGCCCCTTTAAAGCTTATCTGTGGAGTAGATAAGAGAACTCTGTTAAGTGGTTGAGGCAACTGAATTTGATTAGGCAGTTAAAGGAAGGGTTGAGTGCAGGAAAGAATGAACATATTGTTCATATTTGTTTGTTTTATGAAGGAAAGAATGCTTATGTTGTTCATAGTTCCCTTGTTCGAAGGAAAGAATGCTTATATTATTCATAGTTCCCTTCCTTTCTCTTTATTTCTCTTGAGAATGGAATTGTCACATGTAAAATTCCTATTGGTCTTGGTTGATATTCTTAACATGTGTTATTCTTTTTCGGATCTAGGCTGAAGTGACTCAGAGGCTGAGTAATGCCAAGGAAGCAGCAAGTAAACCTGCTGCATTACAGAGTCACGAGGATCTTGCTAGGAAGCTTCAGGTATGCATTCTTTTGAAAGTTGAAACTTAATGATTTCAGTGTTGATCATAAATTAATTTATGAGAATCTGGCTGAGTTACTGACATGAATTGTCTGATTACGATGACTTACAACAGGAGGAGATGGAAAAAAATCGCAGAGCATCATCAGGTAATTTCTTGTACCCTGTGGTGTATCATTACTGTGAAAGATGTTGTATCATTACTGTGAAAGAAGTTGCTTATACATATGTATATTCATTGTTATATTAGTAAAATAAATGGAAGATATTACATATGTGTCCAGGCTTAAAATGTTACTTAAATAATAGAAGCAAATAGGATTAACCCCCATGACCAATACGGCAAGGTGAAGATTCGTAGTTGTATCAGTTCTAGGGCACATTTAGTAAATAGGAGAAGTGTACAATTACTTTGACCCTTCTTGAATGGGTTTATTTTGGTAGGCTCCAAGTCCGATGGATCTGGTAGGCGGATGAAGGAAGTTGCTTGTCCTACCTGCACCGTTCATTTGCAGGTGTGCAATTCATGTGTAGCATCATTTCTGGATAGCCAAGCTCATTTTGTCAATGTTATTGTAACTAGGCTGATTTGAGAACTATTGCAGGTCCAAGTTCCCATCTCAGGTTCTGAGACCATTGAATGTGGGGTTTGCCAGCATCCTTTCCTTGTTAGTGCCCATTGATGTCGGGCATTTATCACCAGCAAAGGCTTAATTTTCTCAATTAATTTCTTGTTGATTTCATTGTACTTGTTGAGGTTTTGGATATTATTAATAATAAAATAGTATGGATTAGTTTTGTTGTGTATTAGCATTTCTCTTTTCTAAGCCTGGTTCACCCGTTGTCATCTCTTCAAGTTAGTGTATATGAAGCTGTCTGCGAATCTCGAGTTATGATTGTGTATAAAATTGACGGATACAATTATAATTACTCTTTCTGTGTAGTTGAAGGCAGTGATATGAATTCCTCAATCCAACAACCGTAATGGTCCTACCATTACTTGTCATTTCAAATATTGATTATTGTAATGTGCAAATGCTTAGCAAGATGGGAAGGACGCTTACATGATAATTTCGCCAACATATATACGTCTGCGTTGCTGCAAAAATTTCTATGTTGTTTCTGGATAATCCTCAAAAATCCAACAACCTTTTAGCTGTCAAATCTTTAATTAGTCATGGGACAATGCAAAGATTTGAGTCATGAATATATAGTGAAATGATTTTCTAAATGAAATTTCGAATTATGTTCTACCATTGTATGATATTTGTAAGCTTGTCTATATGTATCATCCAGCATCCTCAAATTGTCTCTGAGATTATCCATTGGTTACAGTTTCTAGTTCCAATTTGCAAGTTTCAACTTTCAACTTATGGATAACAAGAGTCATTGTTTAAGAAATAGGAGAAGATTATCAATCATGGTGTGATCCAATAGTATGGGAGGATTACGATAGATTACAAAACGAAAATAAATATTGTGAATAATTGCATATACCAAAAATTGAGAAACTCCATTAAAATATTTTTTTTTTAGTGATTTAGCCTAACCATCTAAGAAAACAAGAATCACTTGTTAAAGATAAATAAACTAATTAAATTACTTTAATTGTTTGATATAATAATTATTGATCTATTTTATATAAAAAATTCTTTATTATTAAAAATAAAAATTTAACTTCGTATAATGATACTGACATATTATATTATTCATGCGATTGCACATGGAGGATAAAGTAAAATATCAAATAGAAAATTAAGATTTATAAAATATATATAATAATTTATTTATAGAGTGTGTTCAATCGTCTTTAATTGACGATGAAACTTGTATTTGAGGCATAGGTCCACCCCGCTCCGGCCATTAATTTCAATCAACATTAATTAATCAAGATCTTCCTTTATTAAATAGTTTGTTAAAAGAAGTAGATGCCATAGACGTGGAGTAGGTCTTATTGATAAAGGCTTAATGCTACTAAATGCAAATGCATTCATGGGTATCTGTGAACAAAAATGGTTGTGAGATTTCGACAATTACGGCTGGTTGGTAACAATGCTCTATCCTTTACTTTTGAGTTGGGCACTTTAATTATGTTCTCTTCAATTATATAAAAATTTGCAGAATCCCCATGGACATCTGTTTTGCAGTAATATCATCAATTGTATTAAACAAAATTTGGTTTAGTAAAAGCTGTAGCGGTATTAGTTTTTTTATATACGAGACCATCAAAATTTAAATTTTTATAATTAAAATTGAAGTATAATAATTTTTTCAACAAATTTCGTAATTGTTCCATAAGAGTATGTGGATCTTGAAGTTGAAGGTGTAAAAAAAATAAAGGTTGAAATATCTGAAAGTTAGTAGCAATGTTAGCAGAAGGATGTCCACAACGTGGAAATATTTAAATGTTAGAAAAAGTTTTCTAATATCATAAACGACAATGAAAATGAGAAATGAAAATTAAATCAGTTGATTGGAATTGAAGAGACATTGTAATTGTAGCAGTTTATCCAAAAAAAAAAAAAAGAAAATGAAAATGGAAAAGTTTGTATTAAGCAACCTCAATCTTAAAATCAATATTATTAATCATCACATGAATGCATGGTAAGATTATTTAAAAAAAAACGAAGCACAATTAATAATTCATTCCTTTATAATTACGATACATGAATATATTTGTTTATCAGTATTTGATTGGAATAGTTTGTCAATAATTTTATTATCTGTTAATAAAATATTAAAATTTTAATTCAAATAATAATATCCTTAATTACCTACATATCATGTGGTTAATTGACCACCACTTGTCCTCTTGATCCAACAACATTTTACAACAATAAAAATTTGATGACCTTTTAATTTTTTATTCTCGTTTCTATCAGGTGGTTAAATAATTACATTAATCAATTTTATTGTCAAACACGTATCATCGTATTAAGATACAGATAAGTAATAATCTAAGAGTGAGTTCTGGTTGTTCAGCAAACAAACGTAAGGCAGGAACATGTGCAAGCCATTCATTAAATCTCTGGCTTTATGAGTTATTCTTTTAAGAAATCCGCATGAGTTTTGTCAGTGTGGGTTGCCTTTTCATGCAGGTTAGACTACCAATCCTGCATGAAATAAGAGCCAGTACTTTTCCACCTGTTGACATGAGAACATCATCATCAAAACTCTTTCTGCAGCCAGCAATTCACTTTTACAGTTTCCTCAAAAGGACTCTCCCATCTGGCACAAATATGTTGCCAAAATTCCTTTTGTGCCTTCAGTCGTCTTATAGGAAATCAGACTATATAGAAACACTATACGCTTTGCCTCAAAAGAAAACGTACGTATATGATCATAATGCCATTGAATTTTTGTGCTGATGAATGCTTTAGATAGAATCCATCCATAATTAATATGAAAGCCCCAACGTTTAACTAATTCCTTACATATATATAAATTATAATGTAGAAAAATTTGCTGCCTGCCTTCATTGATTCTTGAAGGAAATCTTAATTCAAAAGCATCCATCAATAATACTAGTATCATTTTTACAATTAATTAGTAGCAACCGAAGAAGGTTAAAAATTTAGAATTCAGAATAATTCGCGTCTCTAGCTATCTCGGTAGCTGCATCTTCAGTTCAATGGTCATTTATTGTTCCTTCATTGTAAAAGAATGACCTGTGTTGAGGCCACAAAGGAAAAAGTGAAGTAAGAATCCAATTTAGAGGTAGTGCTCAATGGTGTAAAAAAGAGCAAAATGGAAGAGGAAAAAGGACTACATTTAATTCTTTGTTGTTGGACAGGGGGGAGGGGGGGAGAATCTAACTGTCTGGGGGGCTGTGGTAAATAAGGGCAGTTAGCAGTTGTGGATTAGTGACCTTTGTTTGTCCTTTAGGTCTTGTGGCCATGGGATCCTCTTTTTGATGTATAGTAGTTCTTTTTCTCTGTGTATCTCACTGCCTTTGGATCATAAGTCATCATATTGATTAACGACAATTTTGGATATAATCAATCACGTACAATAAAATACTATATGAATATAGGACTCCAATTATCATTATATAGTATAATAATAAAATTATGTGCCTTTTAATACGGTCTTTATACTGTAGCTTTTTTTAACGGTTTTTACAATCTTTGTGTCATTGGAGACGAATTTTTACTACTTTTTTTTCAGTTCCCAAAATTGCAAATGAATTGGTGAAGAATTGAAGCAAGTTAATCTTTGAGATGCCTTTCCTTAATTAATTAATTTTGTCAATTGGTTCCCCAAAAGACCAAAACTTACAAAAAAAATATAATTTCCAACTTTTTATATATATATATAAGTTCGTAAGCATTTAATGAAATTCAGTCATTTGCATGTATAAATAAACAGAGAGATGAGTGGGAAGACAAAACAAATCATCCCTTATACGAACCTTCCTTTGTTCTTTTCACTTTGCTAATCAAATTGAACAATTTTCTGAAAGAAATTAAGAACTCGATATACATATATAATCTGCCTTGATCATGGAACTGATATTTTCTTCTGCTTCCTCAACCATTTTGCTGTCTCATCTTTTGGTAATATCTGCACTTTTCTGCAGCACAAAGGCTTTGGTAAAGCTACCACCAAATGAAACGGTTCCTGCTGTCATCGTCTTTGGGGATTCCATTGTTGATGCTGGCAACAACAACGATCTTCAGACTCTGATTAGGTGCAACTTCCTCCCCTATGGCCAAGATTTTGATGGGGGACTTCCAACAGGAAGGTTTTGCAATGGAAAAATCCCCTCGGATTTAGTAGGTAGTAATACTTTCCTGTCTTCTTCATCGTCTTGTTTAAGTTTGAAGCCTAGTTTCGAAAGCTACCTCTGGTTTTTTATCTCAGAAAATCATACTGACAATATATGGTGTTGGGTTGACACTTGACCAACAAAGAGAATTAATTAAAACTAGTTTTCATGGAAATAAATAAACTTTAAATAATTTCGTGCTGATTAATTTACTTTTATAAATCGCTGTCTGATGACATATATGATATATATCACCTTTCTTCTTAAAATAAAAATGGTCTTATATTTTCATGAGAAATACTAGCCATGATCAGTCACCATGCATATAATATTTACCACAGTTTTGTTTATCAAGTGAGATCTGTAAGGGTGGATATGACTAATAAAACCAACGAGATGGGTGAGTGAAAAGGATGAGTTGCATATATAATTATCTTGATTTCGACGGTGTCCTACTATTGAAAGATACAAATCATCCTCCTTTTTTAAAATTAATTAAAATCATCCTTCAAAAAAATTGTATAGTCAACCTTTTAAAATTTTTAATGCATCAGATTGATTTGGATGTGTACTTAAAATTGTTTGAAAAAATTTTGATTTAGACAAAATTTGATGATACGTTGATCGTATTTCCAAAAAAGTATATAGATAATAACATGGGCTTGTAGCATAGGAATGAAAGAGCTAGGATCTCTCAGATTTTTGTCTCAGTCCTCGTACGTCACTGTAAAATACAAATTCATGCGTAGACGAGTTGCATATAATTAGATACGAAGGAAATTAAGAAAAATAAGTAATGGTTAAACAAGAACATCAGTCAGAGTCAGATAACGTTTGGCCAAATTTAAAGTCATAGATCTCCCACGAAAAACCTTGGCACTAAACTGCATCGCATTTAGTTGTTTCAATTAATGCATATTTGTCCTGCTGTTACTTAGCTTCGAAATCTTGATGATTATAGGGCCTTTAATTAATATATGATTTCAAGGGCCTTTAATTTTTACGTTTTGCATCTGTTAGAAAAGGCAAAGTCTTGTGAGCTCACGTTCCTTCGCGTCCAATATAAAAGGAAAAAAGATAAAAAAAAGAAAGGGGACATGTCCTTTCCTCTACTGTCTCCACACGCATAATTAAAGTATACAATTTCATAAATTAATTCAAATTACAAAAAATTATGTTTCATTTTTTTTAATTGAGGCTATCGTATTTAAATATGATCACTGAAATTAAAAATCTAACATTTTATCAATTAAGTTTCATTGTTATATAATAAATATATGTATCACAATTTAATCAGTGATTAAGTTATATTTGCATATCATGGTTTCATTTTATATTATAGTATGTTAATGTAATTATGGAACTACCCTCATATACAGATTCAAATCTATTAACATATATTTCACTTTCCAATTAATCAATCCTTTTTTTTTTCTTTTTACTTTGTTTAATTCTTTTCAGCTGAAGAATTGGGAATTAAAGACACTGTGCCAGCATATCTGGATCCAACATTGAAACCCCAAGATCTCACAACAGGAGTAACCTTTGCTTCTGGTGGCACTGGATATGACCCTTTGACTCCCAAACTAGTGGTACATAATTTCTTCTTAAAAACTTTTCTCTTTTTTTACCTTATTCAAATGTTAAAATCTTTTTGTTCTTCATAGTTCTTACCAATGTTCTTTCACCTGCTTTGTCCAAAATATCAGTCAGTTATACCATTGTCAGACCAGTTAGATCACTTCAAAGAATACATAGGGAAGCTGAAAGATGTTGTTGGAGAAGAAAGAACAAACTTCATCTTAGCCAAGAGTCTGTTTCTAGTTGTAGCCGGCAGCGATGACATTGCCAATACCTATTTTGTTCTTCGTGCCAGGAAATTGCAATACGATATTCCTGCTTATACAGATTTAATGGTTAACTCCGCTACTAATTTTTTTAAGGTAATTAAATCTTCAATTCTATTTCTTCAAAAAGAAAAAAATCTTATGTTATACCTTTATACTATTATTAAAGTATCTTATTGAGTTTGATGTCACAAGTCAATTAACACCATATTCAATAAAAAAAATTACTCAAAAATAAAAAGTGAAGTCCTAACAAGAATATAAAATTAGGGTTTTTATCTTTTTTTAAAAATTATTTTATATGTATTTAGATAAAAACTATTCACTCATCACATAACTTTTTTTTTTCTTTTTCACCCATATTGTGGGTGTATCAAAATCTATTGATTATTAATTTCTTTGGCAACAATATTTAATCATGAAAGTTTAATTTATGAACAATATTGGAAGGAACTATATGCTTTGGGAGCAAGAAGAATTGGGGTATTTAGTGCACCACCAATCGGCTGTGTGCCATCACAAAGAACTTTAGCAGGAGGAATTGAAAGGGAATGTGCAGAAGATTACAACGTAGCAGCCAGATTATTCAACGAAAAGCTATCTGCAGCACTGAATTCCCTTGAAACAAGCATGCCCGATGGAAAATTTGTGTACATAGATATCTACAATCCTCTGCTTGATCTCACTGAAAACCCTCAAAAATATGGTAAAAACCTGTTAGACCCTAAAATATTTCTTGTCTTTTACTAATGGAAATCATTAAAAACCTCTAATTTTTGGTGTTTTCAGGCTTTGAAGTTGCAAATAAAGGGTGTTGTGGTACAGGGAACATAGAGGTGGCAGTTTTGTGTAATAAATTGAGTCCATCAACATGTACAGATGTCTCTAAATATATTTTCTGGGACAGTTATCATCCAACGGAGAAGGCATATAGAGCCCTGGTTAACCCACTCCTTCAGAAATGTGTGAGCAAATTCTTCTGAGGCAAATCTCAAATTATGAAGACAACAAATTCTAAGCTCTCTATATATTTCTCATTTTTATCCAAGTTTTACCCCATAAAAAGATGGTATTTGAGGATTTGTGACCAGTTATTGGCTATAACTTTATTCAAGTCTAAAGTTAATATCTATGTAATGTTCATTTCATTCTATACATTGAGGAAATGGTAATTTGTCTTTTATTTATTCCCTGTCTCTCTCTTGGCTAAAAGGTTAGTATTTGATATAGTGGATAAATGTGGTTGAGAGTTTGAATAAATTGAATAAGCACAGATGACAATTAGCAACACCAAGTAAGCTTTGTTGCTTTTATCATCTTTCGTCTGACCATTGGCCTAGACCAAGACTTCCATTCCCAACTCATCAAGACCCACTAAACAAAAACATATATGTGGTTATTAAATTCAACATCTAAGATGTTTATATACCAACAAAGAGCAGATATGCAAGGATTATATAATCAAAATGGATTGTGAAGAAATGTGTCTTTTCATTGATAATAATGAAGTCCATATCACTATTGCTACTGGTTTTTTTATTTAATTTTGGATAGGCATCCAATTATTATTTTCTCCAACTAACGATGAGCTTGCTTGATCATAATTGAATAGTCATGCCCTTATTTTCATGTCGCAACACAATTAAATGTGTTTGAAAGTTGCAAAACATTAAAAAAAAAAAAAAGAACGTGATTATATCGGGATGCCTTTGCAAATTGGGCCATGCACTTTTAATGTAAAGTTTCAAGTGATGGATATCTCTCCATTTTACAGCTGTTTGCTAGGAAGGCTATGGATTCACATGACAGGTGCTGTGTCCTCTACCTTGCACCAAAAGATCAAGTTTAATGTAGAAGGTCAATTGATAGTGGTATTTGGGGAGAAAGACATATTGGTGACTCAATCCTTGAATACTTCATATGTGAAAGCTACTGAAGAAGCAATGGAATGCTCCTATCGATCCTTCGAGTTAGTCAACTCTGTAGGTGAAGGATATAAAAATAAACCATTTTCAAAGATAGTAATGTGCCAAGTCATCAATAAGGATTGGTATCCAGGAGTAGGGCTGGGCAAGAACTTACAGGGAATAAGAGAACCCCCGACAGTGGTGGACAACAATGAAAGGCTAGGCCTAGGTTATGAAGCAGAAGGACGAGAGATCATGAGGATACCAGCAGGTAAAACAACAAGACTAATGATCATCCCACATTTGTACGAGACTTTCAAGCCTAAAGGATTCATGTAGCCAAATGCAAAAGAAAGTTATGAACAAAGTATGGAAGAGGCATTCGCCCAATTAACCATTCATGCTATTGAAAAAGAAATAGGGCTTGAACAAGAAGGGTGGGTCTGTCCTTGTCTGCCAGATTACGAGCTGAACAATTAGAGTACCAATTAAATACCTTTTACCCTTGAGACTAATTTAATGTAATTATACATTCCAATAGCTATTGGCCAAAGCATTGGGGTGATCTTTCTTGTTTGAGCCATTTATCTTTTATTATTTTAATAAAAATTAAGAAGTATGCATTTTCATTCATTTCTTCTTGTGCCTTCATTATTGCCATTTTTCCATTTTCCAAACATATCTTACCAACATATCTCATTTCATTCAATTTCAGGTCTTTAAATGAACAAGAAGATAATTATGATAACGATAAAGAGGTTAATTTTGAGAATTCAATTAACACCAATGAACTTGACGATGAAGATGATTTTGAAGAGTATGTTATACCTTCGGACCTAATGAGATTGATTGAACAAGAAAGTAAGTTAATTGAACCTCATCAGGAGATAACTGACTTGATGAATTTAAGAGATGAGAATAATAAGAAAGAGGTCAGAATTGGTACTTCACTTTTATTGAGAGATAGGCAACGTTTGGAAGATTTACTTCGAGAATTTATAGATATATTTGTTTGGTCTTACTAGGATATGCTAGGGTTAAGTACAGAGATAGTAGAGCACAAACTGCCCCTAAAGCCATAATGTAAGCCACTCCAGCAGAAACTGAGGTGAATGAAACCTGAAATGCTACTAAAGATAAAAAAAGAGGTGAATAAACAGTTTGATGTAGGTTTCTTGCAAGTGACTAAGTATCCAGAGTGGGTAGCCAATATAGTACCAATTTTTAAAAAGATAAAAAAGTATGAATGTGTGTAGACTATCGTGATTTGAATAGGGCTAGCCCAAAGGATAATTTTTCTTTGTCTCATATCGACACATTGGTAGATAATACGGCTAAGCATTCAATGTTCTCCTTTATGGATGGATTCTTAGGGTATAATCAGATAAAAATGATTGTAGATGATATGAAAAAGATCACTTTTGTGACCATGTGAGGAAATTTTACTACAAAGTCATACATTTTAGGTTAAAGAATACTGGGCAACATACCAAAGAGCCATGATGACGCTCTTCCATGACATAATGCACAGAAAGATTGAGGTGTATGTGGACGATATGATTACAAAATCTCATGAAAATGAAGATCATGTCACCAACCTCAAAAAATTATTTGAGAGGTTGAAAAAATTTTAACTCAAGTTAAACCCAGCCAAGTGCACATTCGGGGTAAAATCAGAGAAGTTGTTAGGCTTTATGGTAAGTGAAAAAGGGATTGAAGTTGATCTAGATAAAATACAAGTCATTCAAAATTTGTCGCCTCTGAGTATACCAAAAGAAGTTTGAGGTTTTCTGGGAAGATTGAACTATATTTCGCGGTTCATATCTCAGCTTACTTATAAATGTGATCCTATTTTTAAGCTTCTCCGTAAGAGTAATCCTGGAGAATGGAATAAGGAATACCAAGTAGATTTTGATAAAATTAAGTAATATTTGTCAAATCCTCCAGTGTTGATGCCACCTGTTCTAAAAAAATCTTTAATTTTATACCTGACAGTATACGAGAATTCAATAGGATGTGTGCTAGGGTAGTAAGATGAATATGGTAAAAAAAAAAGAGCTATTTATTATCTGAGTAAAAAATTCACTGAATATGAGTCCAAGTATTCTTCTTTGGAGAAAATATATTATGCCTTAGCTTGGATTACCAAAAGACTCAGATAATACATGCTTTATCACACCACTTGACTTATAGTAAAATTGAATCTAATTAAATACATCTTTGAGAAGCTTTCTTTGTTTGGAAGAATTGTTAGGTGGTAAGTAATGCTCTCGAAATATGATATCATATATGTAAGCTAAAAAGCAATAAAAGAAAGTACTATAACTAAATTTCTTATAGATTGTGCTACTGAAGAATATGAACCAATGAGATTGGAGTTCCTCGATGAAGATCCGATGACTGTTTCCCAATTAGGAAAGGGAAAGCATGAAGAAAAATGTTGGAAGATATATTTTGATGGAGTTGCTAATGTATTAGGATATGAAATTGAGGTAATTTTAATTTTTTTAGAAAAACAATACTACCATATAACAGCGAGGTTAAATTTTAATTGCATAAATAATATCGTTGAATATGAGGCATGCATCATGGGTTTACAAGCTGCTATAGATAGGAAAGTTAAAGCACTAAAAGTATTTAGAAACTTAGTTCTAGTTATATATCAATTGAAAGGAGAATGGGAGAAGAGAGATTCAAAACTTGTTCCATATCATAAGCATATTTTAAAGTTGATAAAGTAGTTGAAGATATCAAGTTTGATCATTTACCTCGAGAGGAGAATCTGATACGATGCCTTAGCTACTTTGGCTGTAATGATTCCGAATTAGTGATAATACTGATATTCAACATATTAGGTTAGATGGTAAGATTATGCCAGCTTATTGCTCTAATATAGAAGATGATGATGAAAATCCTTGGTTTTATGATATATTATAGTACATCAAGAACCAATAATACCCAGTTCAAGCTATAAAAAATGATAAAAAGGTCATTCAAAGATTAGCTATGAGCTTTTTTCTGGATGGAGATGTTCTGTACAAAAGATCCATGATCAAGTATTGTTGAGGTGTGTAAATAAGGTCGAAGTAAGGAAAATCATTGAAGAGGTACATGATAGAATATATGGGCACATGCCAATGAACATATGATGGCAAGACAGATTATGAGAATATGGTACTATTGCTTGACAATGGAGAATGATTGCATTGATACGCTAAAAAATGTTACAAATGCCAGATATATATTGACAAGATTCATGCTCCGTCATCTGTTTTATATGTTATTATAACGTCTAGATCTGGGGATCTATCACTAGACATTGACTTTTAGGAGTCGCCATCAATCTTTTTTATCTAGGTGTGATTGACCATCTAAAGAATCTGTCCTTTCAGGAAACACCTAAGTTTAAAGGTTCCTAAAAGAATAGGTTCAGCTCTACTAACCAGAACAGGATTCGAAAGTTCGGTTACGTGTGAGAAAGGTTATAACACCCTCACAACGCCCATCAAAAGATGGTACCAGCTTAAATTTGTGTTATCCAATGAGCCTTAAAAATTTACCAAGTGATTAATTATTAGAAATTATTCTCAATTGACTCTAATACTTTTAGTAAAAATTTGAAAAAATTTCCTCACCTCAGGAGTATGCAAGCAAACTATTGTTTCACTTGCAGAGGCTCCATCATCGGATTATTTAACATAAAAAATAAAAAAATAAAAAAATAAAGAAAAGAATGATGTTCTTGTGCAGGAAAAATAGATACTTTTAACTTTTCTCCAAAAATATTCTTTTGAAACTTTAATTTTGAGGAAAATTGATACTTTCAACTTTTCCTCAAAAAATTTATTTTTTGAAAATTTATTTTTAAGAAAAATTGATACTTTCAACTTTTCCCCAAAAAATCTTTTTTTAAAATTTATTTTTAAGGAAAATTGATACTTTCAACTTTTCCTCAAAAACTTTTTTTTTGAAAATTTATTTTTAAGAAAAATTAATACTTTCAACTTTTCCCTAAAAATATTTTTTGGAAAGCTTATTTTCAAGGAAAATTGATACTTTCAACTTTTCCTCAAAAATATTTTTTTTCTTGAAATTATTTTTTTATTATTAACCAATGTTTTTAAATCATGAAAACATAAAATAAAATGAGTGAATAAATGACATGCTACAACAAAAAAAAAATCAAAACGGGAAAGAAAATATCTTACCAAAAATTGAGCTTAATCCTGGATCAAAATCAATTTAAGTCAACTTTCTGAATCAGGCCTAGATTGTTTCTTGAATGGGTTCCAACTCAAGGCTTTGGTTTTGATTAGTGA